GAAACTTTGTAAGTTTGGCCTACTTTTTGTTTCAATAATTGCCACCAGGGGCTCTCTGCACAGAGTCAGTGTTAAATCTAAAGCTGTTTCCACACATACACTCCTAGAAAATTCCTAGAAAATTTTCAGGACAGCCTGCCTGCCAAAATCTTCACATATCTTTTCCAGTCTACATGATTTTAAAAAAAAAGTCAATTTATTGTGCAAGTCCACCTAAAACTAGACTTTTAAAATACATGTTAACATAATAGTCTGACTAAAATCAGAAGAAGTTGAGTTTCTCGAAGTTGGACTAACACACCCAGATAATGTGGTCGGTTTATTTCCTCTTGTATGCATACAGCTCAATTGGCCCTAAACTGTCTAGGCATTTTGCATATGCTCCACAGTTTCCGCTATGTGCTTTGACTCAGAACTCATAAATGCTTAGAAGAAAGCCGTGGAGAAAACAAGACAACAGTATCAACATGGAGAGTGCTAGAGTAAAAAGAAAGAATGAAATGTTCAGAGCTGTAAAATTGTCCATGTTTTCACTTCTGTCAATAAATCGATTTAACTGTTGCTCAGTGGGTATGCTCTCTTCCTTTCCACAACTACAAAATCTCAAGCTAAGAAGAAAAAAATGAGATGGGAACTTATGAGATAAGTCCATCCACTCCATCTTTTGCCTGCTCCCCTTTTCAGAAAATGTGTGCTCGAACAGGCTGTCTGGACATTTTCCCTTCATGACATCACAACGGGCACAGAAGACACAGAAACAGCCTGTTCTTTTTTTTTGCTTTAACAAGAAACTTCACATACATGGTTTAGGGAGCACCGAGACTTAGTCAAACTGCTTGAAAACGAATATGATATGTGACCTTTAAAGTAAGGCATTAAAAAAAGTTGGTCTCTGTGAGATTACATCACAAGAGAGGAAACTCGATGGTCTAACATGAAACTGCAGAGACTCGTCCTCTGTCTCTGTCGCTGAGCCCGACTCTGAAACCACAGACATGAAAGTCATGTCAGAGCAGAGTTCCTGTTTGATGGCAAGGCAGCAAACTGTTTCTTTGCGTATGAAACTTATCTTAGGGCCTTATTTGGCCACATCAGAAGACACACAGATAAAATGTGTTCTGAAATACTGAGACACAGAGTTGAGATGTATTAGCGTGCAATCTATTCTGATAACATACCTTTATGTTTCCACGGGCGTTCGAAAATATATGCACGAAGCAGTTTTCTCATAAACAAGAGCGGTTATGAATGCCATCAGTTGTTACTGATTCAGATTTACTTGATAGTGTGAGCTGTTTTGTGTGTTCAGTACTTCCGAGTAAGTCCCACACAGGAAAGCAGTTCAAAAATCCCCATGTTTCACACATCCATGCACTGATACTCAATGTTTCGTGGTTTATGTGCATCAGCAGCTGCTCAAAAATGACACTAAAGTTAGTGCTAAAAATAAAGCAAACGCTTCCTGTTAACAAACAAGCTATAAATTACACATATATTGTCCTTCTGTGGTTGTTTTTTGTATGTTAACAAAGAAAAACATAGAAAATCCTTGAAAAGTGGTTTTCTGTTTTCATGCTTCTCACTGAATTCAAGTGCACGCTCCTAGTTGAACAGAAATGCACACTTTCCTCTCTCGCCCCTCAGGCTATGTGAGTTTTGTCATATTTTACTGATGTGACCTTTGATCCTCTGTCAGACAACCATGTGCCTGGGTCATGTTTTGGGATAGGCTCGTTGATATCCGTCTGCGTCTAAGCCCCTAGGGGTCAGAGGAGTTCATGAAAGGGGGAGGGGAGCACTATAGAGGAACAGCAACAAATGTGTTCCAGCGTTGGCTGGCAAAATCCCAAGCAGTGTTGTTTTTTTAAAGACATGCATTCTACAGATGGGTCCTGCAGAAAATATGAATGAGCCACGTCTGTCTGATGTTTGGGTAACAGGCATACACAGGAAGAAGAAGAGAAACTTTTTTGAACCTGCTGTTTTGGTGTTTTTCACATCTGTTTTGAGAAATGTATCCATTTCCATTTGTTTAACTATCCTCATCATTTTTTTATCATCACAATGACGATATTATGGCTGTCGCAGATTTCATATTTTCCAAGACGACTGATACTTTTTAAATAACATTTTGTTTGGGAAACTGCAGGTTTTGATGCTTGGGCCACGTTTGTAGGCTTGTAAGCTGCTTTAGCTTACCAGTGAAGAATTGTGGTGAGACATCAGTCCGGTTGATTATAACAGGTACTTATTCACTTAGTGCAGTGTTCAAAAACACATAGGCTTTGTCCACAACCAATATACTTGAATCTTAGTTGATCTGGACACATTGTGTTTGACTTAAAAACTTGTGAAAGTAAGCACTTCACTTTGACAAAGCAATATCCTGGTACTTTCTGTTACTACATCATATCCCTGAAATAACAACGACTTCTTCCTCAAAGGGGAAGGCTCGACCGGTAACACTACATACAGCACTCATAACAGACAAGGTGCTATGATGGAGTTTAAGTTGTTTATATTTCTGCCACTCACTGACCAATGTTCACCTGGTTGCTTTTAGATTTTTAATGAAAAACATTTGCACGACTAAAAATAAGAGGAAGCTGTTTTTTATGGCAAAACAAATTCAGACCTCAATGCAAGACATAAATACAAGCTGATAGGATATTACATATTTGCAAAGCTAAGCAGAGGTACCATGTTTGTGTGATCATTTTGATTAGACTCCTAAATGAACAGATATCTGTACCACACATCTGCTTTACCTGATCTGTTTGTTACTGCAGTGAACTCCTTTCATGAAAATGTTAAAGGTTGCTGCCCTGATAAATGCAAGGAAAAGGCTATGTTATTGATTCTGTTCAACCTACAGCCTGAACAATCAACAAAAGAGGAAATTAGACGTTTATATTCTGCAGTGTTTCTGCTGAAGACCGACCAAGCTTTTTGTCTCTTCTCAGTCAGAGCAGAAAATGTCACTCCTTTCAGAGGATGTGAACGCGAACCATCCACAGAAAGTTAGGCCACTAAAGATAACCGCAGGGGAAAAAATGAAGAGTAAAAACATTAACGACAAATAGACCACTTTGTTGCCATAGCACCTGAGCGGCTGTAATTTAGACCTGTTGAGCTGCACATTTATTTCATGAGGTAGGATGAAGTCTGAGAGCCGACCTTCTCTGCAACATATGCCGAGTAAAAGAAGACACATTTAGATTCTTTTGTTGTAGTGTTTTTACAAGGTAGAAAAGTAATTTAATATTTGCATCTTATAACCTTCAAACATACATTAGAACATGTGTGATCCTAATAAGGTACTTTTACTAGACTCAGTTTTCATTGACATTTTCACATCTTTTCATAAGCTGTTAAAAACAGAGGTATATATAGGTACTGTAGTGCCAGTATGATTTTCTAGTCACAATTTCTACTTCTCAATTTCTACAGTTTTTCTGCTCTAACCTGCCTGAATGTTTTTAAAGCCTCACTTTAACTCACTTGTAATAATGACAGGCAAAGCTACCCTGCTTAAAGGGTATTCTCTATTAAATGAAAAACAGCCTGAAAAAACACCCGACCTTTTGTTACCTTTCGTTTTGATGGAATTGACATGAAGATGTGCCGTACACGAGAGAAAACAAAGCTGTGATCAGTAACGATGGCATTTAAAGAAGACAATGTTTCCATTAAAATACAATTTAAATCATTCTAACAATAAATCAAATACTTTCTAATTGGTTAGATTGATTTTGATAAACATGGGCTGTAAAGAAAGAAAAGGCCTGCCACATTCAAAAAGAAACACTCAACACACCTGGCAGGAGAGCTGATGCTTTGTATGCATTGAGGACATGAAGAAAGGAAAGATTAACAGCTGCATGGAACTAGTGAGGAGCATTACTGAAGGAGCACAAAGATAGATTCATAACGAGGTCATAATTAGTGCTGCTGTTGTGCAATTTATCAGCAGATCTGGAAGTTTTAAGTCAGTGTCATTGCACACTGGTGCATAAAATAATACTGACAGCACTCTATGATTAATGCCTCATTATTCTTATTCATGTTATTTACTACAAACAGTAGCTACTTAACCTGTTATTACCAGGTCGTTAAAGTGCAGTCCGTTTTTTTGTCGACTGATTTGTTGTTTAGTAGCAACAACTTTGTGTTCAGTCTAAAAAGCTAAAACAGTGATATTGGAGTCTTTTAGAGATAACTGAAGCATTTTGAAATACAAAAAAGTGTACACACACTGAGCTGTGAGGCAACTTGTGGCACAATCATTTACCAGTATAATTTCCCAGACAGACAATCAATTCTCACTTCAAACGTAGGCCTACATTAAACACACTTCACATGTTTTACACAGTTTACACTTCAATCAACTGAGCAACTTTTGACGCTTAAAAAGAGGTTTTTAAAGACAAAGCAGCATGTGAAACCAAACACACACGTGGCGGGGTAATGTTCGCTTTAAGAAATCTACTTAAACTGGATACTCGGAATTATTAGAAGATAGGATGACTGACTTTCTTCAACTCTTCTCTTCTAGGCACCAAAGGCAGGTTGGCGTACTGCGAGCGCAGCCTCTCATATTCCCCACAGTATTTATAACTTGGTCAGCTGACCTTGCACTTGGACACATCCACTACACTGGGAGAATAATCCACTTCGAAATAAACACATTGACTGATAAAGTCTTACACATAGCGCACAATTCAACAAAATACGTTGAATTATGAGTACTAATGTGATAATGTGTGCTCATGTGTTTAGTCTTGACGGTACAACATTGAAATAATGCTTACATTAGACTTACAATGTAATGCTTAGAGTGTGGCGCTCCCCCGCCCCACAGATAATGGTACGGCCCTGTGTTGAAATTCCGAGAATTGAGCTGCTCTGTTTCTTAGAACTGGATTCTCAGAACTGGTGATGCACAGAGTTTCGAGGAAACTTTCACAAGGTGACTTTTTTTTTCCTTCCTATTTTCTCAGCATTAGGTTCAGGAGTGTGGCGAGGCAGCAGGCACTGCTTCGGCTGCTCCCGGGCTGGATTTTTAATTCCTATATTTTTAGTATCTTTTAGCTAGAAGTGAAGTCCTAACAGACTTGAACTATGAAAGTTTTATACTGAGCGGTGCTGTGTCTGCTTGTGTTTTAGAGGGAAGTGCGACTGCAAGTGTGTGCGGATTTAATGTCAACACAAGTCGGTTTGGAAACGAGCAGCAATTTGGCGACGTTAACCTTTTTAGCGAAAGCAGCTGCGCATAAATCCGAGTTATTAGTCATTGTATTTGTTTTACTTGATTGCCTTCTATATTTGTATTTGAGTCACTATTTTGGAAGTTGCGAAAACCTATGAGACGTGCAATAGTTGCGCAACTGTATCGGTCTGTCTGCTTCATCTTGTTTTCTTTCTGCGCAGTTCTCTCCTGACTTCACTTTGCCAATGCTTGAGCTGAACACGTATCATTACTTCGACTTAATACTTCAAACGACACATTTCAAGTACAAGAGTGTCCCAAAACGTGACAGTTTAACATGATTTCTAACTTTGAAAAAGACTTGCGCTTGCCTGCTGTGCCAGCTATAACTAACAAACCACTCCTTAAAAATCACATCCTACTCAAGTGTATCGTCTCGATTTAGTGTCGGCCTAATTGGCTTAGAAAAGTGGAGCGATTAGTTTAGCAGGAGGGGAGCAAATAGTAATGGGTTAAAAGAGTTGAGTTCTACTTATGTCGGGGAACAGGAAACCTCTCTGTGTACTGGCAACCTAATCTGAGCAGTCAGGACGGAATGTGCTCAACGTCAAACACGTTTCTGTCTGCAGGCTGCCAGCAGCGAGCTGTTTGTTACATTATGTACATCTGCAGCAGGACAGGACAACACACACAGAAGCTTACATTAAGGGAACTTTTTAACATTAGAACTCATGTTTGCATTGGAAAATATTGTTTTTTTTATTTTTCAAGTTTTATGTGTTTTCAAAATTATGGAAAACTTGATCCCAAGTTTATGCCAGAGCAAATCCACTATAATAATATCAGTTTTCAATAATACCTTGTTAACTTATCTGTTCTATTATATGGTAAAACACTGAATTAAAGTGTCAGGCCGGAGAAAACATACCTTTTTTTTAACTTTTCTCTTTGCAATGACGCCTCCTCCTGATAAAACTCAGTCATGACACTTGTTCTATTTTAAAGCTTGTTTTGTTGATGAAGCCTGAATGCAGGTGGCCTGTTTCCACTCATAGTGTCAGTGAGAGCCAGAGGCGGTGACATACAATGAATTAACTTATTATGTCGATTTGATCAACTATAACCTGTTACAACTATAACTCGACTTTTTGCTCAAATTTTGGTATTTTATATGGACTTCTTTATATGGACAGTCTTTTTTACTAGACTGAAGAAAATCTCATCTAGACGGCAAATAAACTTAATCTTATTAACAAATGTAATGACTAATGGACATTTTGCCAGAGAATATGGTCGTCCATGCTCATACAAGTGGTGATATCCACACCTTGTTATGTTCCTGCAGGCTGCAGGGTGTGTAGCTGTGTTGGTTACCTTTGTTTGGTAGTGGAGTAGCAGATAACAAACAAACATGTTTTTTATTATTTCTACCCTCGTACAGATTTTGAAAGCATGGCGACGACTACGGATGACTGCATCCAATTCACCCGACATGCATGCGATGTATTACTCAACTTCAACCGTCTCCGCAGCAGGAACATCCTGACCGATGTCACCATACAGGTGGACGGACAGCAGTTTCGTGCTCATAAGGCCATTTTGGTGGCCTGCAGGTATGCACAACTATAAGATCTGGCACACTTACTGCACCTGACAGCCACATGATATAAGTTCAGATCTCATCCCTTTTTATAAATGAATTTCCAGGAGTTATTGAATCTTAGATGTGCTTATGTTCAGCACTCATCATGCCTTTTTTTCTTTTACAGCGGCTTCTTTTATTCTGTGTTCATGGACCCCAAGAACAGAAACCTCAGTGCCATAAGCTTAGACCCCAAAGTGGATCCCAAGGGTTTCTCAATCCTGCTGGACTTCATGTACACGTCCTGTCTGAACCTGAAGGACAGTCTGGCCGTTGCCACGATGAACACAGCGGTCTACCTCCAGATGGAGCATGTGGCCGACACCTGCCACAGGTTCATCAAGTCCAGGTAGAGAAAAACATGAAACACGCATGTTTAAGTGAAAAGGGAAAACGGTTTGAGTTTGAGTTAAATACTTAATGTTTCACCTGTTTCCACAGAAATCAGATTCTCAACATGACAGTTGAGGAGGTACAGATGAACTCATTATGTCTGCCCGAGGAGAGGCCTACTGCTGAAAAAGAGCAAGACTTTAGAAACATTCACACATCGAACTCCTCCTACATCCCCAATGTCTTCAGGGGGATCAACACTTCCGGCTCCTATCACGTCTACGGGGACCCCCAGGTCCCTTCTGTACAGCTTGAAGGTCCCCATAAGTCAAGCAACCTTACCAGAGGAGGGGCTCTGCCTCAGAAACAATGCTCCCAGGTGGCTCCCAGTGAGGCCAACACCAGCATCTCTGACCCTGTACCATCCCGCCCCAGTTTCCCCACCACCATCATGAGACCAGCAGGAGCTCAAGAGAGCCTTCAAAGACCTGCTACACCCATGGAGAAAGACAGCATTCAGCACCCGCAAAACAGCTGCCTCAGACTGTCTCCAGGTTTTCTTAAAGGTGTGATCAGTAGCCCTCAAAGCCCCCTGAGATCTGACTGCCAGCCCAACTCACCAACTGAGTCCAACAGCAGCAGAAGCGCCACACTAAGCCTTAATCAGTCGTCTGACTGTTCAAGCAACACCAAGGCTCGCAACTGGAAGAAGTACAAGCTGATCGTTATGAACCAAACACCTGACGAGAACGAGAAGGAGGTCCAGGGAGGCGACCCAGAATCTGAAGCCATCGCCATGTCCCCCACGCTGAGCCCGTATAGGAGAGAAGCTGAGGGAAACGGTGATGTTCAGACAGAAGAGGGAGCCGGTGAGCACAGAGAGGAAATCTTCATGTTTCAGAGTTCAGACAGCTTCAGCAGTAGCCCCTGCAGCAGCCTCGGGTAAGGACTGAAATTTAAGCTGAATATATTTTGGAAAGAGGGAAAAAAAAATGTAGAAAAAGCAATGAATTAAAATCCCTTCTGTGTGCAGCCAGCGCAGATGTTCCTCCTGTGGCTGTGACAGCCCTCGATGCATGGATATGGGTCATCTCTCTCCCGACTCATACAGCAGAGAAGAGGCCACCATAATACACTCGCAGTGTTCCTCCTCCCCTGGTGGTAAGTGGACTCAACATGTACCATGCCAGGAATCTGTAGCTGCATTTCTTTTCCATCAAAATCAGAGGTTTATTTATTTATTGTACTTTTTTTTTTCTCTCCAGAAAACAACACATACTTCTGTAATGGCTGTGACTCTAAGTTCTTAGAAGAGGACTCCCTCAAAGACCACATGGTCCAGGTCCACAGCGATAAGCCGTACAAGTGCGACTGCTGCCAGGCCGCCTTCCGCTACAAGGGCAACCTGGCCAGCCATAAGACTGTTCACACTGGTAAGACTCATAAATCCTGCTTTGGCATTTAAAAGTCCAATTACATAAACCTCTTTTGAGATGACTCTTTCATTAATTCCTAAACCTCTTGCTGTCAACATCCAGGTGCGAAGCCATACCACTGCAACATCTGTGGTGCTCAGTTTAACCGACCAGCAAACCTCAAGACACACTCGCGCATCCACTCTGGAGAGAAGCCTTACAAGTGTGAGACCTGCGGCTCCAGATTTGTCCAGGTGAGGAACAAAAATGGCAGGAAATCCATACAAAAGTCAACCTGCTGCCTTCAAGTGTGCGTGTTCTAATATGAGTTGTAATTTCCCCTCCAGGTGGCCCATCTTCGCGCTCACGTGTTGATCCACACCGGGGAGAAGCCGTATCCGTGTGAGATCTGTGGCACACACTTTCGTCACCTTCAGACGCTCAAGAGCCACATGCGCATTCATACGGGAGAGAAGCCTTATCATGTAAGCTTCCTACTCCTTATCCTCTGTGTCTGCGACAGAGTAATCGCTCTCCTCCCCTGATGAATTGGTAGTTTTAAGTCCTGAGTGGTAATCCTAGACCGCTATAGCTGTGCTTGAACAAAAAAAAAAAAAAAAAACCTTCTAGTGATGGTCATTATTTTAAATCATTTGATTTTTTTTCTTTCCATCAGTGTGAAAAATGTGACCTCCACTTCAGACACAAGAGTCAGCTGAGGCTTCACCTCCGGCAGAAGCACGGCGCCGTCACCAACACCAAGGCCCAGTATCGAAGGACTCCCAGTAACGTCCTCACAGGCCTGATGAGCGCCTGCTGAATTCCTCCTGTGTGTCATTTGCCTTTTGCATCGGTCGCCATGTTGTCAAAAGATTTTTATGTTTTACATAGAAATACATAAATATTATATATATGTAGTATATGCCTTTTATGCATTTGTATATGATGCACATGACTTAATGTAAGCACTTTGGTAGTTCAAAGATTGTTGAAGTGTATGCTATGTGCACTGTGAATGTCTAACAGAGTGCATATTGTGAATGTGAATATGAGCAGGTATCTCTGTTTGGCCAATCACTTATCAGTATATCAGCATTGAAGGACAGTCCTCTTTCTCGTTCAGATTGAGAATCACTGTTCCGCTTCTGCTTTATAGCTACTGGTGTGAATTAACTAAGTTATGTGCTCACTGTTCATGTTTCCTTAGTTTATTTTTGTAAATAAGATAATATATATTTTCAGATTGCCGTCTGCTGGCAGAGTACAAATATATTTACGCAGAGTTTTGTTTTTCTTACATGCAGTTAATAACACAAGGGCTTTTTATTTTGTCTTTAAAAGTTTGTGGTACGTATTGGAATATGAACAGATTGTTTCCCTTTTAAAAATGCGATGTAAATAGTTTATTTTTTCAAGCATTTCACTTGCTATATTCTTATTTATATTAGTTTTTTTGCTTTATTCTAACACATTGTGGTGCTGGAATGATACATCCACAGGATCATTGAAGGTATTTTAACTAACCGTATGTATCATAGTGCACTTGTACGAACCAGTATATTCACAGTGCCTTACATTCACATACTTCTCCCTGACATGAAAAACGTTAGTGTTATCATGATTCATTTCACATTCGGTACATTGCCCTAATATCATGTGCAGGTTTGTCAGGTACTGCTAATCTTGTAGCTGATGATCTGTTTAATGTAGCTCTTGAAATGCAGATACACCAGGCCCCAAGCTGAAAAATGCTCAGGAAAATATGTCAGCAAATGTCTTTGTAACTGCAGAGAATAAATATATATATACATATATATATGTATGTATGACATGAAAATAAAATGTACACTATGTTATAATTGTTGCATCAATTGTGTTTTTGTTTATGTAAGATAGTTTTAAAAAAGAATACTTTTTTATTTTACTAGTGTGCAGCTATAATAAGGAAAAACAAAAAGCAGCACTTCTCTTGCTCCCCCTGGTGTTCACTCCTATGAATACTCATTTATTCTTCGCCACAGAAACCTGAATAAAAGGTCAGACTTGGAGATAAGTTCAGTTTTATGAGCTTGAATAAATACATGCAACTGTTAGAAACTTAAACATATACTTAGAAACAAATTACTGAATGATATAAGTATATAAATTAATGTAAAAGAAGTTTTAAATGATTTTTTTTAGTAAACACTTAACAATTAATATCTTTATCATTATTTCATATTAATGGATGTTTATGAATTATTATTTTTTTGAAGAAATGTTTTCTGTTAAGAGACAAACGATATAAACAAGCTGTCAGCATACTGTGGTACAATAACCTTTAATTTAGCTCGGTCCCTGCAATAAAACAAAAGTATGATGAATTCAAAAGTACTGGAAGAAAAAGATAATTATGCGTATATACTGAAAGGGAATAATTCACACATTTAGAGAGCTAAGCTAATGAACATTATTTATCTGTTCAATAATTATCTTTGTTGGTTAAATTTGTCCTTTACAAACAGAAAATGGAACCAGTTAGTCCGCATTCAACTTAATGATAAACGTTTTGTTTTTCAACCTGTGTGGAGCCAAACAACAACCAATGAAACGGACCTTCTCAAATTATAGTGAAGTCAAGCGCCCCCTGCTGGCTAATTTGATAAAAACCTAATAAAAACTGTAGTGAACTGAAGTGGTAATTAATCAAGTGATTGACTATAGCACTACTTTTGAGTTAATGTTTTTGAATAAAGCAGCTCTAGTCTTTCTAGGGTCTGCTATGCTTACAAAGTGAGTTTTCCAGATATAACCATGTTCCATGTTCCACAGTACACTGCATAAATTGACAAGTTATTTATAATAAAAAAATATTCTACAACAAATAATGACACACAGAAAGGGAAAAAAAACAATCTTTAATTTGCATTTTATTTCCTCCTCCTTCAAGATACAGTACAACAGATTTATCAAATCTTTTATCTTCATGTGTTTTCTAGTCTAATCAAACATGTTGAAGCTATGAAGCACAGCCAGGTATTCAGAGTCAAATACATGAACATGGACCTGATAACTCTACACGTCACAAAATGTCATGTTTCTGTAGTGCTGTCCATTAAAGATGAGACACGTGTTTTATACATTTCATTTGAAAGGTTTTTTTCTGATTTGTCAGTCTTAAATTGATCTAAGTCTGTCGTCGTCATCATGTCAAGCAACTATTTGGTCGGAAGCTTTTGCTGCTTCTAAAACATGATCCTCTGAAGACATAAGTGATATATTCCTTTTTTGATGACACTTAAGAAGTGCCTTTGATTGACAAAAAAAAAGCTGCTCTAAGTTAATGATCCATTTGTTTCGATGTGAAGGCCTCAAGACTGTGATGAAATACAGCGACTATCTGTTCTCAAGTAGCAGCTTAGGCAGCTCTACTTCTCATTCATACTGACACAGACCACACACACACACACAAACACACAGAAACAAAAAGTGCAGCATTTACAAAGTAGGTGGAAAAAAAGTAAAACAAAACAGTAATCAAAAGTAAAAAGTCATATGAATGGACATATAAACTTATCATAGAGTACTTGCAGTTGATCAAAAGAAAAACTAAAAATGTAAATGTTATTGGCAGCTGGAGACCTTCAACCCTCTTTGTCCAGGATGGCTTTCACATCACCGAACACCTGAAAGAGACAAAATAGTGTAATCAGGAAACAAACAGGCCGGAAATGGTTATTTTTTTTACATTTCTTTGAGAGCTGCAATATGTAAGATATCTACTAAATGAAGCTATATAATGACCTTACTATATCATCAGACATTAAAGAAACATGCTATGTTGTTAAGTACTGGCTCCTCTGTCAACAGTGCAGCAGCCAGCATGTCCTCCTTCATGAGTTTCAATTTTGGTCTGGAATGGTCTTTTTTTGTTTTGACCAGAGACGGTAGGCGGTAACAAGTGTTGCATCGAGTGAAGCGGGCAAACAAACTGGTTCAGATAAAAACTGATTCTACCGACCAAAAAAGCCTTGTCATTTTTCTAATTCGATCCACGAACAGAAACGTGGTCAAACTAGGATAAATATTAGAGAGGTTAGAGCAGAGTGCAGAAAGGTTTCAAGGGTACAAACAGACTCTTGGGAGGAGGGGGCAGGAGGAGCTATGTTTGCCTATGTTTGATACAAGAGCAGGATGAGATCTTTTGTGAGGAAAAACACTGCTCACGCATGTACAAGACAAACTCAGATAGATACAAGTTACTACTTTGTTCACAGGAGGTTCCGAAATCTACAAAAACCAAAGGTTCAATTTGTTTCCCACAAAAAATACTGAATAAAAAAAACAACAACTAATTTCAGAGTTGTACCGTATTTTCCGCACTATAAGGCGTACTTAAAAGCCTTTAATTTTCTCAAAAAACGACAGTGCGCCTTATAATCCGGAGCGCCATTGGTTGATCCATACTGGTTGTACACGGCGCTCAGCGACACTGACTCGGATAATGACGAGAGGGAGCCGGGCATGTTGGATGCCGTACTCGCCCAACAATTCAATTCGGACACTGAAGAAGAAGAATTCGAGGGATTCGTGGACGGGGAATGAACTGAAAAAGTGAGCTTTACGTGTTATACGTAACTGAACAATGTTGAGTTATGCACTAACGTTTGAATTAGCGGTATCAGACTGTGTTTCTTTTACGTGTTTACAACTGAACAAGGCTGGGAGATATTGTGAATATGCACATTAACATTTGAACAACGTTGAATGCACAGTTCATTCATATTTATATTTATATATTCACAATATCTTCCAGCCTTGTTCAGTTGTAAACACGTTCTATTCTATGCGCCTTATAATCCGGTGCGCCCTATATATGAAAACAGTTCTAAAATAGGCCATTCATTGAAGGTGCGCCTTATAATCCGGTGCGCCTTATAGTGCGGAAAATACGGTAAGTAGTATTTGAACCAGTAGACTATTAATTGTGAAGATGTCTCCTACACCTTCGGGGGCCCATCTTAAGTGTATGTACACGGCAGATTGGCTTAATTTATAAAGTCATAAAAGCAGCTTGTAAGTCCATGTCAAGCTCAGATGTTTATGAAGGTGAGCAAAATACAGCTTTTCACGTAAAAACAGGTGAACAGATTAACAAAATTGATATCTACCAATATCCCTATGCCAGTGTCATATCACTTTAAGCTGCAAACAAATAGACCAACCCACTTGAACGTGTCCATTAAAGGATTGATAGGTTTCTCTTGAAATGTTTGGTAAGTGACACAGGCTTTTCAGGGCTCTACACCCCAAAACATCATTTTCGTAAGCATTAGCTGATGTTAACAGAAGTTTTCCAACAGCCACTGCCATTTTCTCACCTCGTCCACAGAGCGAGAGGCGTCTACAGTGCGCACCTTGCCGAGTTTCTCATACAGTGCAATGATTGGTCGTGTAGACTGCAGGTAGGTTTGGATTCTGCGTTAAAGAAAAACAGGCCTGGTTATCGGGGTCAGGTGACACAGAAGTCTTGAAGGAGACATAAATGATGACAAAAACACATGTAGGTATCCAACAGTCCGATAAATGGATCACAAATCTATACTGATCAGATATGTTGGTTGAAATGCAGAAGTTCACCAGAACATGGAATCAATAAATGATCAACTACAGTAGTTAACACAACTAGTACATGCTTCATAACAGTTAAAGTCTAAAGTGTCTCGTTTTATTCATGGTCCAGACTGACCTTTTCTCCAAACTTTCTCTGTTATCATCCGTGCGTCCGCTGACCTTCCCTCTTTCTAGACATCTGTCGATGCAAACCTGAGGACGATAAAAAAAAACAAAGAAAATCTCAAGCTCAGTATAAAATCTATGTGAAGACATCAGCTCAGTTCCTTTTGTTTGTGTTAATAAAGCAAGACGGCTCTCTAGTTTCCATGACGTACCTCATTACTGCAGTCAAAGAAAAGCACAAACTTGACATCTGCTTTGCTATCCATGACGGTGTTCCAGCCCTCCAGGTTGTCCTCGTTGCGGGGAAAACCGTCTATGAGGAAGCGGAACTTTTTCTCATCTTGCTGCATGGTTTCTTCCATCGCCTTTCAAGACAGAAAGGAATCATTAAATGTTTTTTTCTTATGATGTTTTTTTTCTTAGGATTGAATGAAGATGCAGCAGCATGAGTGGTCTTCAACCTTCCTAAAAGAGCACATGTCACTCCGCTGTTCATCTCCCTCCACTTGCTCCCAGGAACTGCTCACATCAAATTTAAAACTCTGCTGCTCGCTTACAAAACAGCGACAAAAACGGCTCCTCCTTACTTTAACTCTCTCATATAGGTCTACACTCCCTCCCTCCCACTACGCCCTGCCAATGAAAGGCAGCTGATTCAACCTTCACAAAAGGTCTCTAACTAGACTCTTCTCCTCTGTCGCCACCCAGTGGTTGAACGAACGTTTAAGAATAAGCTAAAGACCCAACTCTTTCATGAACACATACACAATGATATTCATGATGATGATGATGATAGTAATGACGATGGTTTTGTTTGATAATGACTTGATAATGACGATATTTAGGATGGTTCTGATGCTGAGTAGAACTCTCAAGAACAGCTGTCGGTGTTGTGCTTTGCCTCTGGTCACTTCCTGTCAGCACCTGTGTCTCCCATTGAACTTAAAGCTGTTCGTTTGCTCTTTCTGACTTTGACTCCTCCTCTCTAGATCTTTGCTCGTGTTGTACTTACTCTCTGATGTACATCACTTTGGATAAAACGTCTGCTAAGTGAATTGTAGAATATTTTGAAGGTTCTTTATTCAATAAACAAATCAGAACCTGAGTCAAACAGAATGATCATAAAATACATCCACAAACTCATTCTGTAATTCTGTGTTTAAAAACCACCTGTATCACAGCTGTGCTGCCGCACTTAACAAAACTTATGTATCACAGAGAAGCTATGATTTGTTAGCACTTAGAACAGTTTATAACAGATAGATGTTTGATCATTGGCAATGATTCATTTTCCAGTAACATCCACAAATCACTCTATTGCATCCAACAAGTTCAGAATGCAGCAACCTAGGCTTATTACTGGTTTTAACAGACTGCATCAAATCACCAGACTTACATTTTACTGACTTAAAAAACAGCGGAGTGGACACAAGAGCCCATTTCACGCAATGCACCAAACATTAGGCAGGTAGACTGTATGTGTGGATCCAACCTGAGTTTTTGACTCAAATTTTATCCAGACTTTGTCTCCAAGCTCACTTTTGAGATGTCAGCATTAAGTCAGGGTGAGCCAATGTTTGAACCTGTAAACTACCACGAGAAGGTGCCACCACGAGCAGGTGATGAAGTCAGTGAGAAGTAAAGTTTCCCTACTGCTAGTCTCAGTTGTCATAATATTGTTTTTAATTGTTGCCTTTGTCTTGTGGAAATGTTCCTGTACTTGTTGTAGAGATATTAACACAAAGACATTCACCCTTATGGGGACTCCGCCCACTACCCAGCCACCTCCTCACCTAAAGCCAACTGAGTATTAAAAAGGGCTCAGGTGTACATTTAGAAATATGTTACATGTTTTTTTTTTTTTCAAATACATTAGAGTGGACAGGTCTCAGATAAAGGAATGCGCTCCCAGGCATACTGTCTAGTATTTGATCCTACTATGCAATCACAAACCTGATTTACAGCATGTTTTAGGTGCTTACCTTCCTGAGTAAATTGATAGTGATCTCCACAGGGACAATTTTTCCCTCTTTGATGTAGTTGGCAATGAGCTGTCCAAACTCAGACTCCTCTCTGGCTCGCTCCGCCCTCAGCAAGTCTCCAGCTGACAGATGGGTGTAGTTGTAGTTCTGAGAGACACAGATATTTTTGATTTAAGTTGATATTTCCTGCTAGAACCGTTCTTTTAAAGTATAACACACTTGAACTAGTCATAAACAAATTAGTCGAGAAGAAAGTGACGATTGGTTATGAATTAAGTCTGTGGACTTCTGCTCACACGGTCACTCTTCATTTACATAAAGCCCTCACAGGTTGAAAAAGGCTTTCCACACACAAGCCTGGAAGAAGTCCTGAATGAAAGGAACGTCTCTACACAGCTGTCATTCACGCTCAACTAGATCAACAGCAGCGCAGCCAACACCCAGTAATAATCGGTGAACAGAGTAGTTAAACATAGACTTTTAGAAGTAGTAATACAGAAAGATGTACTGCTGAAGGCACTCACGTCATACTTGATTTAAGAGCATTCTGCAGAAACTTTTGACGGCCAAGAAACAACAAAAATCCCCGTCTTACATCCGTTTGTTGACAAAGTGGCAAAGTGCTCTCCAGATTTACAATTACCAAGACACAGTTTAGTTTATTTGCACATTTTTTGAAAGAAGAATCAAACAGAAAATTAAAAAAAAAAAATAATAATAATAATAAAACACACGTGTAGGTGAGGTAGAAACCCACGAGGGCTTATCTCAAAACCTCACCTTAAGAGATTAAACAAAGTTAAAGTAAAATACAGTAAGTGAGAATATTTACTATCAGGCGTTTTGACTACATAACATTTAAGAAAGAGCCACAATACACTGACTTTTTGGTGATACAGCTGTCAGAAATGAATGCTGACACTTTTTTAAACAACTATTGTACATAACATTTGTTCTCTGTAGAGCACATTTAATGAATGTGAGGAGATAAACTGTACAGCCTGTGTGGCTAAGTGGCTAGCTAGCTGCCAGGCTAACACACACAGGTTGACTTTAGAGGACAATGAAAAGTCACTGAATTGACTTTAAGCCTGGATGATAATAAAAGATAAGTGTATTCTGAGACGACCTAAATACTATTTATATCTCTACATGATACACCCTAATACAGAGTCTGTCATTGTCCTTTTCTCTCGTACCTCCACGATTCTGGAGCACTGGGTCCCTTTACCGGCTCCCGGCCCGCCCAGCACGAACACAACCTGCGGCTTCATCGTCAGCGACACCCGGTACAACAAGCTCGGCACCCTCTGAGACACGTAACCGAACACACGGCCGATCATAAACCAGCAGACAACAGGCGTTGGACCCGGCGGGGTGTGTGTATAATAAGCCGAAGTTGAATGCGTGTCAGTACCGGAGGATAGGAAGTACGATGAGCCACACCACACCACTTCCGCTGTTGACTCCCGCGACCAATGAGGTTCCACGAAGGAGTGACGTAGCCCGTGAAGCCACGCCCTTTGCACTTGTTATCTTTTTTTTTTTTTTTTTCAATGCAGAGGTCGGGTGACGCCCCTCCCCTGCCTCTCCAGCATCAGCACCTCCAAACCCGAGCGAGGCGAGCCCGCAGCAGGGGGAAGGATGCTCTCCGGTCCGCCAGGTTCTCCAGCGAGAGGAAACAGTGCGACGAGAACCGAGACAGTCTGGTGCGACCGGGTATAGTTACTGTTTTCTGCACGTTTATGATGCCTCGCTGCCTCCATTCATGATGCACCATTCATGCATCCACAAGAATGGAAGCACACAGCAAGGAAAACATTAAAATAGCCCGCTTTAGCCCTGTTGGCTCGCCATTATTAGACTCATCGTCGCTCATTTGATGTAGCTTCTTTTCATGTAGGTCAAGGTGATGAACAGCCGGATTTTGTCTTTTGAGCGCGCCGCGCGAATACAGGAAAAGCCAAGCAAACAAAAGGCATCCAGCACCCCCTCCTCTGACGCACCTGGCTGCCCTGTCGCTGCTTGACATGACAGCGCAGAGCCAGGCGCAGAGCAGCAGGATCAAGGGGCACCGACGTGCAGCCGGACGTTTGGACTCGACGAGTAGCAGAGAATCCTCCGGAGGCACGGCGGAGGAGGAGCAGCACCCCAGGGGAGGCCGGATTGCAGTTTCTGGGGACGAGCGCCAAGGGCAGTGCGGCAGTCAGCAGGCAGACCGGGGGGAGGAGGCTGCGGAGATCTGTGATACTTCCCCCCCCAGGCCCCACTTTCTCCCTCTCAACTCCATATCATCCTGAAAATATGCTTGTGGATGTTTATATGTTTCATCAATGGTGACTGTGTCCTCCCCCCCCACACCCCCCCATATTTGTTTCTCTTCTGTTTTCCTTCCCAACCAATCACTGATCATGGGCAATTAAAGGATTAGATCTGCTCTTCAGGCAAGGGTGGAATCTGAAGGGGACTGATGTGCATACTGGTCAGGAAACATTTGCTCCCTTCTTCTCTGGTTTTGCTCATTTTGCTCGTTGCCTGCACTATGGGCTGTATTCAGAGCATTGCATGCAAGCCCCGCATCAAGCGGGAGAACATTGTGGTGTATGAGGTGTCAGCCTCCATTGACCAGTGTCCCACCATCATCGAGGAGAACTCACCGATTGTACTCCGCTACAAGACGCCGTACTTCAGGGCCTCAGCAGGTGTGGTGATGCCACCGGTGCCCCGCAATGAGACCTGGGTGGTTGGATGGATCCAAGCTTGTACTCAAATGGAGTTTTACAATACATATGGGGACATTGGCATGTAAGTGAACCGCAGAAACATCCTGTTAGAACTTTTGCCTCTAGGTGAGCTTTGTTGGTGCAATGTTTTGATGTGCACACTTCTTTTTACTTCTTTCGAACTCTGTCAAACATCTAAACCACAACCTGAACCAGCCAATGCAGAAAAAAAGCACATCCTCACACCCTGTTACTCTGTCCCCGTTGTCCTCCATCTGCAGGTCCAGCTGGGAGCTACCAGAGCTTCGAGAGGGTCGGGTCAAGGCCATCAGCGACTCAGACGGTGTCAGCTACCCGTGGTACGGCAACACCACAGAGACTGTCACCTTGACCGGGCCAACGTCCAAACCGTCCCGTCTGACGGTCAGCATGAATGACAACTTCTACCCCAGCGTGACCTGGGCAGTGCCCATCAGCAACAGTAACACGCCCATGTTGACCCACATCACCCGGGACCAGAGCTTCATCACCTGGCTGGTAGCCATGAACTCCGTCACCAAGGTAAGGCCAAAAACACATACGCGTTCCCAACTTAATAATAGTCTTAACTGTGTTGTTTGTTCTGTGTCTGTCCAGTTTAAGTGCTGGCGATACATCTATAGAAACAGAGCTTGCATTGCACACACAGACTGTGATATAATCATCTCCCCCTGCTCTTTTCCTTTCTGGTGTAAAGTTACAAAGTACCCCATCCTTGCTTTCTGCTGAAAATGCCCATCAGGAGACAGTCTAGCTCAAAGTGAGCATCAGCATTTCATTATTCTAGCCACTTTCTGAGCAGATGACGTGTCTTTTTCTACTCGAGGTTACGCCTGTTAAAAGAATACTGTTGCTCACTGTTGCTTGCTCATTAATGGATAATGAGCCTGTCATTATCTACCAATGAGGTAGTAAAAAAAAATGACAGTTTTGCACACTTCCGCATTGGCTTCATTTTACAACACTGGAGGTTGCCACTTGGTGTAGACCACGCCTGCGTGAAACAAACAAAAATATGCTGTGTGTGATAACATTCAGTTAGGCGATATGGAGTATTTTAAACAGAACCTGTGTGCACTACATCCATCCTTAATCCTAAATAACTCGGAGAAAGCATTTTGTTTTTCACCACTAAATTTGCACCTAATAATCCAAATGTAGCTGATAGCTATAGAGCTTCATCTGACTGGATCAAAATGATCTTGAAGCATGGTCATTTTACTCGGGCCTCAACATAAAGAAATGTATGCATGCTTTGGAGAAAGCAGCTTGCGAACATAAAATCGGTTTTCTTATATTTTTTGCGATAAATAAGACTTTTGTGAGGTTTTCTTTGAATGCTCATTAGTCAATAAAGGTGAAGCTGTGATTAATTGGGAAGCCGTTGTCTAGAGCTGCTCTGAATGTCATGACGTGTCATGAGGCAACTTTTGTTGTGATTAGATCAAATTCATTGATTAGTCTTGTCTAGTATAGTATAGAAATCATTCAACTCTATAGTATTAATAGAGATGTATTCCTTAAGGCTTTCATAGAGAAGGTTGTCAGGCTTGTTTTCTTCATGACTTTTTTGTAAGAAGAGGACGGGATTAAATTTCTTTCATGTGTCTTAACTTTAATTTGTATCAGATAAGCTTATTTACATAGGCTTAGCAATACACTTTTAATGAGAATGTAAGTTACCTCATCTATCAGCAGCAGAGGACATACTGCTTCATGATGCACTGTCAACTTAAGACCTTGCACAAGTAATCTTAGTGAACCTAGAATGCACCACTCCATGCATACACACATCTTAATATTAACTGCTCTCCTCCTCCAGGAGCGTATCGTGTTGCAGACGGTGCGGTGGCGGATGCGCGTGGACATCGCCGTTGACCCCGACATGCCTCTGGGCTCTCGGGCCTCGTTGGTGGGCCGTCCTTACCAGGAGCAGCCACACATCCTCAACTACCAGGAGCCCATCCCTCCCAACGCGCTGGGGAGACCCAACGCCAACGACGCCCAAGTGCTGATGTGGAGGCCGAGGAGAGGGGCACCACTTGTGGTCATACCTCCAAAATAAGAGACTGAAATGCTTGCACAGACAAAAGTATTATCGTTCCCTCTTGCAGCAAAGGGAGTCATCAGGGTGATAAAGTCACGAAGCCTATCAGGGAAGAGAGAACTGATGGTTTCCCTGAGCTCAGGATGCCAGTGGCTCATTAATCCTGGAAGATTTAAGAGGAACATTATCGCAAGCCAGAGTGAATTTTACATCTTGGGTCTGGCACAATATAGAGTCAGGGCCCCAGTTTCATCAAGGCTTGTTTGGTCCTCGACCAGTTTTGTACTGCTTCAAAGAGTTCTGCCTGCTTTTTAGCGAAGAAGGAACGCTGATCACGGAGGTATCAGACCCAAACAAGAACTGCATCCTGCATCCTTATGTAGATCTTATTGCATGAGCCAGTGAGAGAGAGACAACAAACTGTCCTTGAGAAGTTGAAGAATAGCATTCGTTTTTATAACTTGATACCTGAAGACATTTTGATGGAAAAACCAGCCCCCCCCCCAAAAAAAGAAGAAAAAAACCCTGCAGGCTGGTTAAACCTCATCAGTGCCAACAAAGGCCTTCCTCAGCACACTCAGTAATTATTGAAGGATGTATTCAGAACATTTAAAAGAGACAGCATATTATATGAATCTTTTTAGTTAAGATTAACTTGTGCATCTGTCAGATTGTATTAAGAGCACCCACCTTGCATAAAAATCAGGAAAAAAGAAAAACAAATCTGCTGTGGTTTTCTCTGGGTTTTTGCAAACACACCAAATGTGTGCACCAATATATTTTTCACTCACTTGCCTCTGTAGCGATGCCTCTGTATTCAGATGGGTTACAAACTATCTCAGAGATGAGCCGGACGTGTTACCACAAAGAATAAATAACGTCAGCTCTGCTCTAAATAAGTGTGGTGTAAATTACTTGGAATAGTGCCATACAACAGATTTAAAACACTGAGGGTGATAGCAGGCGATTGATCATCGCTGGAATGGGGCTGAATTGTACTCAGACCCAAGGTCGATTTGACTGTAATCAGGCCATGTTGCGCTACCCAGTTACATAAATATTAACACAATTCTGAATGCCCTCTTAATACTTTCCATCATCTGGAATTAAATAAGACTGCATTTAAAAAGGGTATAGTTGAACTAGTGTAATTTTTTCAACAGGTAGACTGAGGAAATTTCACAGTTTCATGTCCTATCCTTAGCGTGTTTTATTTGGCTCTGTAGAGAATAACAGCACATAAAGGCCGTCCTGTGTCGTGGCTGTGGTCTGTCCCATAGCTTGGTCCAAGTCCCTGCCTGCCACTCCACGCACGAGTCACATGACTCATTCCTCCATCTGTGCTTCTCTCCAGGTTCATGCCTCACCTTCCCATCTGCCTCCTTCTTCTCTCCCCTGTCTGTCCACCCCGTCAACACACAATGTCTCAGTTCAAACACACATTAGCTCCTGAAACCATCAGACTTAGCACAGCTATGGCAAGAAAAGAAACAGAGCAAAAGAAATTGGACAGATGTGCCTCAATTCTCTTGTCATTTGTCAGGGCCACTCTGAATAAAAATGACCATTTCTTCTGTGAAAAGCACTCAGAAAGGGTAAATAGGTTATATTTATTCAGTGTGTCTACAGTTGTCACTACACAGCAGCTAGCTCAGACATCTGTTGCTATAGAGACAAGTTTGGTTTCACTGAGTGCACTGCAACTGGAACTGAAAAAAAAAAACAGTTAAAAATATATTCATGGGTGTGCCTCACTGTGTGTCCGCACTAGTGTGTGTGTGAGAATGTGTACACATACAAACTTCATGCTCCAATTTAGCTGTTCATTTCCCTTTGAAGTAAGAAAAAAAGATCAAGGCAGAGCTGGTTGTTTCAGCATAAAAAATGCCATCATTTATTCATCTGTTCCTACATAAAAAACATTATGTTTTTGTTTAAATAACACAGGAATGAGCTCCTTCATACAACTGCCAGATTTTGAGAAGTAATGTGAGAGCAGTCATATCCCGTTTTATAAAAAAAAAAAAAAGACATTCAGCATCTTTGAAAAGAGGTAACCCCTCCTCTCTGCAGCAAGTCTGCTCCTGATTCCACTGCTAGATGGATGCTTTGCAAAGGAATTTCCTCCCTTTGAGACAGGAGCTCCCAGCATACCTTTTTTGTACAGACACCCCTGCTGTCCCATAAAACATAAATACATGATTGACATACTGAACTACACAATTTAGGTGGGCAAATATCTGAAGCCATATTTTCATGTCATTCTCCTGATTGCTTTAATCGAAACCTTGCATTACCATTAGAGCCTGTCAAATATAAGAATATGAGAGGTCGACCAATAAGAACATTTCCCTTTTAAATGTTCTTATTGATGTCGACCAATATGGTAAATCTTTGAGCTGTTATAGAAGTGGACCTGTGTTTCTTTTTCACCAATATGACTGCACATACATGTGCAGACAGTGCCCCGTCAGTGAACGCTCTTCTAGACAAACAATTGAAAGACATCATTAATTCTTCAAACATATTGTTGTTTTCTGCTACATATATGTTCTGTCAAAAAGTTTAATATCATTTAAAAAACCTACAGCTTATGCCAATGTATCTGTAGTAGGCACAACTGCACATCACATTGGCTAACCTCTATGTCGGTCTGGCTGTGGTTTTCCAGGGATAAACAAGTTAAGGTTAATTTTACTGTAACACCGTCTGTTTACATGGTAAGGTAGCCTCAATGTTCTCCTGATAAGACAATTATAAGACATTATATTGCAAACATTTTACATGATATTAAAAACTATTTAAAAAAAATTAAAAACTTTTAAAAGATACACCACCAAAATATTGTCCTCCATCTTTGTAGCGAAGCAGCATGTTTCCAGAGGATTATTTGGAGCACTTTAGGCTCAACGTTTTCAAGTTGAAATTCAGCAACTTTTCCAGCTCTGTTTAATTCTGTATACCAAACTCCCTTTCACAGTTCATGGAGTGTTTTTTGAGTGCCTGTGATCACCTCATTCTGGTAGCACAGTTCACAGAGGCCTCTGTTTACACTTTGATGGTGGTGCTACTAGCAGGCTTGTGCTCATAGCCATACAGAAATGTGGCAGCAATGACCAGCACTGCCCCTGCAAAAAATACTCTGTGAGGAAGGGGGGGGGGGGGGGGAACAAATAGAAAAGCGCAAAAAGAGAAATTAAAAACACCATGCCAGCAACTTTGTGAGGATGTGCTTTGATATAATTGCTAATGTCGCATGTCAACACTGACTTGCTCATAATGACAGTGTTTTATACTATATATTACAATAGGTTTAGCAGGTATACTGACTGTGTTTAACACCTTAGCGGGCTAATATTAGCTAATGAGCAATAATAAAAATCAATAATCACAAAAAGTCTGATGGGAAAAAAACTTTAAAACTTTAAAAATTTTACTGGACAATTGAATTTTTTTTCCAATTCGCTACAGGAGGGAAAGTCACAGGAATACCATCTTTTTTTCTTAAGTCATTCTATAAAGATAAAAAATGTGCTGATAAAACCTTCTGCCAAGAGCTATTTAATTCTAAAAGAGCCAACGTAAACCTTGTGGTCACCCTCATTAAATCATTTTTCCTAAGCTATATAATCAGGGAATTTTACAAAATATGTTCAGAAATTTCAGTATCAATGCTTTTATGTTGTCCTAGAGACTGAAAGAGTATATATTTGTGGCTAGCATGGGTAGAGAAATGGGAACATGAACATTTGTTTACCTTGTAGGGTTGAAGTCCTCTAGCATGAAATACGAAATAACTGCAGACACAATGATGGACAGAGACGTGGCAAATCCTTTGAGGATATTGTCTGCATATTTAATGACCACTGCTACGACCAAGCCGCCACAGCCTGCAAAAGAGAATAATGAGTTACAAAAAGCACACTCCACTCAGACAAACACACAACATGTGAAAAGAATATACAAAGTAAGCATCTCCAAACAAACCGATGCACTTTTATGTATGTTTGACCTAAATGGGGGACTTAAGATAATGTTCAAAGAACAGTGTCATAATTATCAAACCTGTAAGACAACAACTGTGCCGGTGATGACGCTGTAACCCTGAAACATTCCCCACTGTTTTACTCTCTGGCCGTCATATACTATCATTCCTCCTATGCCAAAAATTAAGCCGAAAAAACCTGGAGGAGACAAAAAGAAATAGAGAGGTAAGGCTGTAGCAATAACATTTGGAATAATCATTTCTTCCAACTGTTTGGTAATAGACAGAAAGGTAAGTCTGAAGAAGTTGTTTAACCACACCATCCTGCCACTAGAGGTCACTTCAGTTAAACTTAGGGCTGGAGCTTAGGTTCAACAGACTTTCAAATTCACCTTAATATTTATGCATACAGGAAAGAAAGCTGTCAGGGATATCCTGCTCATTCCCATGGTGCAATCATTAACTCCTCCTCTCTCTACAAGCATCAACCAGTCTGTCATTTTTTGTGTTTTTACACACATTAACCCCCCAAAAATAAAAGTCAACTCTGTGCCACACATATAGAAACCCAAACATACACTGCAAAACACATGGTATCATTTCCACAATATATACACCAATAAAACCATTGCTTTGTTCAAAACTACCTGTATTCATTATGGTTGTTAAAATCCAATACAGAGTTGTAAATTATTAAACCAGATGAACCAAACGACAGGTCATCTTAAGAGAAAGGTTTCAGGAGGAGGAAACAAAAGAGACAAAATGACCTTGTTTACACGTACAAGACTAGATTCCTGCTTTAGTCAAAAGCAACATATGTATCATACATTGGAAGACATTCTGAGATATGATTGTGAAATTTAGAATTAGGTCATACTTCCTGACTTGAGAGTTCTGCCATTAAGCTATACTTCAACTTTTCTGTTTCGCAATCCTCAACAAGCGTGTGCAATTATTCATGACTAAAATCTGATGTTTCTTCTCTGATCATACAAAGGGTCATGATAGTGCCATGAGATTACTTGTTGTGAATTGTAGTTATGTAATATTATGTGATTGATTTATTGTAATAACCCAGTAACCCAGAAAAAATATCATGCCTGTTAAATTCAGGGTACCAGGAAACCTAGTTTCAATGACACAACATCTTTTTATCTGTGAAGTACTTGATATATCAGCATGGAATCAAAGCAGCAAACCCTTGCCTCGGCCTTAAAAAGCACATCAGGGTCGACTTTGTAACATGGCTTTTTGATTTTTGGCTCTGTGGGAGGTCGGACAGACCTTTCCTGGACAGAAAACATGGCTTATAAGGTTGTAAAAACATAGATGATAATAATGACACTGAAAATACAAGTTTAATGAATAATTTAACGAAAAATGTCATAAATTGTTTTTCTTGCCAGGTAAAATTGGGTCCAATTTGTTATGTCTCACACAGAGTTTATTATTACTTAAGTATGTCCGTTTTTATGTGACAATGTATGTTATTTTACCTGCTGTGTGATTCCTATAGCAACAATTCTTGTTTCACATAACCCCTTCTGCACTGTTGATAATGTAAAGAACATTTCAATCAATTCTTCAAATGTATTAAAGGTCATTTATAATCCTTAGACCAAAATAAAGTGAGAGTAACTTAAAACCGAGAAGACAACTAAAGCAGATATGTAGCCTTGGTTTGAAGCCAAGTGAAACAGGATTTCTCGTATGATCTCACTTGAATGTCAAATGTAAAGGCAGAATCAAAAACCATTCCAAGGTTTAAAGCAAGTGGAAAGCTGACCTAAATTGTTAGAGAACAGTTTTGCGGGCCAAAAAAGACAGATTTCTCATTCAGACTAAGAAATATTTGAGTCCCTATGTGAGTTGGGATCCAACTTTTTGTGGGATTTTATGGGGAGATAGAGCTAAATGTATATAACAGTGGTAGATGTTTTGCTTCTGGATAATATTACCATGAGAGAGCATGTAAATGGGGAAAAGAGTGGGGCTTAGGATGGATCCTTGAGGGATCCCCCTGGAAGGATTTTCTAGAGAGGAGGTACAGTTATCTATGCTAACCATTAACTGGTGAAAATCTTAACATGAACAATTCTGCAGCAGTCCTTCATACTGGTTGAAATGTCCTTGATATTTGTGCAAAAAGAGAGTAAATGCAAATATAGTACAAGGCTTTCCTGTTAAAAGAACAGTTAGTTTATCTATTTCTCAGCAGCAACACTTGAAATTATTTTAGAAAGACATCAATGATATCACTATAGCAGTGGCTTGTGTCAACATTAAGTGTGCAAATTGATCTGTTTTTATACTGTACATGAAGCATAGAATCAATAGATTTTTATCATGTCCTGCTCAACAAACACTGGATCCCAACCAAACCAAACACTGTCCTGTTTTTCAGGCATGGAAGTGCTTCAAATGATAGGTTGAACCATATGTGTGGCACAGTTTACTGTTCTAAATGTTAAGGGGATAAAACTAAAAAAGTTTTATGTTTTAATTAAGTATGGTTTGTAAGGTCTTAAGAATTGTACAGAACCCCGAAGTCCCAAAAAGTAAAACAAAATTCTTGTGGGCACAAGTTTTTGGGACTTCGGGGTTCCATTTAATTGTGACCAAGGGCTTCACTAATTTTACTGAATCATTCAGGTCATGGGAGGGGCTTGTGTGAATTAGCAACTCAGGAAGATTTCAAGTGCAGGCTATGTGTGAAAACAGCTTAACACACAGAGTTACTCACCCAGCTGAATGTTTCGGACCCACACACTCTGTTCAGTCTCCTTGAGGATTTTCTCAAAGTAAACTCCAGCAAAGCCACTGGACACACACGCCATCAACACAGCAATTAGCCCCACAAACTGAGAACCTGCACACAGGATCTTCTGCTCAGTGTCTCCCTCAGAGTCTCCCTCAGAGTCAGCAGGCCACTGTGGAGGTTAAAACATTGACAATCACATGCAAAGGGACAGACAGAGAAAATAAACCTTGTAATTTGTAACTAATTTATAAAAACTCCTACCCACAGACTGACTTGTGCAGGGATGGTCTGATCAATTAATTACCCTTTCTAACTCCACCAATCATATCTACTTTGAAAGAAAAGATAATGGGAACATATGTATACATTCTTAGCTTAATTCTTCATTGACTCAAAAAGAAGATATATGTTTAAAGTCAGAATTTAAATAATTAAAAAAAATCACATGCAAACTCTTGACGACTGTTTAAATTGCAATGAAAAAATGCCAGTGAGTAAATTGCAAGTAAGACAGCGTGCAGACGTACCCATTTTGGACATAAATGTGCAATGTATTTATCTAAAATTTAAAGTACAAATAAAATAAAATATGCCACATTGATATAGCCAGAATAGTCATCAGTCCAGCCTCTGTCATGGAAAAAAGCCAATCACAGTTGAGGTTTCAGGGGGGGTATGCCACCCTTGGCCACCCACTGGACACGCCCCTGCCCACAGAGAAAAGCCTTCATGCTGCAGTTGTGTTTCTGAAAATTGTTCACGGTATTTTACCTGCACTAGAGTGACTCCGGCCATGAGGAAGAGAAGTGAAAGCCACTGGTACAGACCCATCTTCTTCCCCAGCATGGAGACAGAAAACAGTGCTGTGGTGAGGATCTTCAACTGGTATGTGACCTGTGTGGATCACAACACAATAAACATAACGTTAACTTTAATTGTTTGGTATGCTCGGTTTTTTGATGATTGCTTTGTGCTTTACATAAAACAATAACACAACAACAACAACAAAAGAAACAACATGGATGTAAGAAGAGAGTTGCAGTAATCTGAACAGGATGAAAAAGATGTATTACCCAGTCCAAATGACCAAGAGAGATATTTTTTTTTTTTTAACTTTCTTGAAAAAATGCATACATTCCTGATTGAATAAATAATTACATTGAAATTAGTTGCTCAAGCTGTTTTAACACTTGCAGAATTTCTAGAAAATGTCATGACAGAATGCCCCTTAAATCCTCTGTGCTTATTCACCCCTCACATCATGAAGTATGTCGACCTGGGGATGGGTGTGGGCTCAGGGGGCAAGAAATGCCTTTAAAAAAGACGCTGCAGTAGCCTATTCCAAGATGACAGAGGAAGCCAATTTTTGGCCACTTGTGCAACATTTGTTAAAATGTCACCTAGATTGTCAAATAAATCTGAATTCTCGCATTTGGCCACGCAAAAAGAACAATTTAAGTTTTGCTTTTATTTACCTCAATGATGTTGTTTTGTGTGTGTCATCATTTGCTTGAGAAGGACAAAGTAAATTTTGTCTCAACAGTAGATCAATCGGGGTAACCAGCTGAGCTTTGTTATGAAACTCTAAGCTTACAGATCATACAACCAAGTGGAAGCAGGTGGAGAGACAACAGTGGGGGCCAAGCATTGAACCTTTGGATAACCTGCGAGTGATCTCTGCTATTCAGAGTGATGGTTTGATTGTATTGATTGAAAGAGTCATTTTAGATAAATAAGACTTAATCAGCTCAGTGCTGTGCCAGAGATACCTACCCTCTTTCAGTGCGATTTATTAAAAATATAATTATCTACCGTATCAAAGCCAGAATTAAGATCTGATGGGATTCAAACCTAGCATTATCCTCCATCTGCTGTGAGATTCACAACAAATCACTCTTGCAAGACAGAGGGGAAAGCTGCCAGGAATGTAAATATCAGAGGAGAAGATCAGTAAGATCAAGCATATACTAGATCATAGATCACTATGACCAAAACCCTGGTCCACCTAGAAATACACTTGCAGTTTTTCTCTGAGTGAATCATCAGGGGTACCAAAAGGGTTTATTGGACATTTTAATGGGGAAGTGATTCATATTATACATTTTTTTCAAAGATTTTTTGAGGCTTTGTACGCCTTTATTGTAGAGATAGGACAGTGGATAGGGTCGGAAATAAGGGATAGAGAGAGGGGGGGGGGGGATGACATGCAGAAAAGGAGGTTGAACCTGAACCCAGGCTGCCTGTTTCAAGGACTACAGCCTCTGTACATGGGACGTGCACCCTAACCACTTGGCCACTAGCGCCCCATATTATACATACAAGTCCAAGGCAAACCATATTTAAATCAGTTAAAATAAATACACACACACACACACACACACACACACACACACACACACAAAAAGTGGATTTGAAGCTGCACATTCATATGTCACCTGATACGTTGCTGCGTCCAGGTTGGATAAGGCAACATAGAGCAGATTGTTCTGCAGCGTGTAGATCCCTGCAGGAATGGCCAGCTTCAGGGTCTGTGACCGCTTGTACACAATCTCCTCCTTCAGCAGTTGGTTCATTGCCCGGCAACTGAAATCTATCAGAGACAAGGGGTCTGCTTTCAGGAATTTAGCCTATAGGGACCACCCATAGCGTGAAGAGATATATGATCTACCAATTAAGTGAGAGCTTGTTCTAAGTCTACACAGTGTCTAACTCCAAATACCCAATCTTCCTCCTCACCTAATTTTTAAGTTTGTACTCACTGTTCTCCATGAAGACAAGGAGGGTGCAGGTGAAGATCTTGAGCACCTCGGCCGACACCACAGCAGATGAAGCCAGGTAGCGGGGGCCATCTTCGTTCAGGGTGCGGGAGTAGCGCATTGTGAGCACCAGCGAGGTGGTCTGCAACACCAGCACCCCCAGAGACACATACTTGAGCCTCGAGGAGTGTGACGAGGGCAAGACCATCTTGGAGACCTCTGAGTCAGAAGAGGGTGAAGGAGTCTTCAGAGTGGACAGGAAGGAAGAGAGATAAGACACAAAGCTGATGTGAATTTTAGGGATTTCTTAATCAAATTAATACAACAACAAAAAAAACAGGCAAAGCCGAACAAAATAATACTGAAATAAGTGGAGGGTAAATTTCAAGGACAGTTTGGAGAAGATGAATGCTGGGTAGTCATTAAAGGGTAATCAAAGAGAAAACTGCAGCCTGAGGCAGTGTACAGAGGGAAGAGCATTCCTGCAGCACATAGAACAATTTGACAAGCTATAAGAGTAATGGGGACGCACTCCTGAAAACAGATGTCACCATTTTCTGTAGTTGGTTTATCATCCACCCTCCACCAACATGCATCAGCTGCTGATTCAGGCAGAAGGTGCTTGGTGAATCACTGGTAAATCTGAGGCTGCATATAACCAGAAGTTTGTCAGAAAAACCCCAGCCTTGATTTTCTCTTCATAATTTCTTCAAATCACCGATAAGCAAAACCCCTGTCATCTTGTTCTGATTCTGATATTGTTCTTCTCCTGTGAGGAGTATTTCAAGCTGTTTAAGAAACAGACTTAAATTCATGCTGATGCACCTTTATGAGCTAGAAAAGTAAAACACAGACCATCAGCTGGAAGATAAACTATTGCGTTATTATCATTTTAAAAGCATGTAACTGCTGCAACATGGTAGGTTTCAGACAAGGTGAATAACAAACAGCCTTTTTTAAAACATTTTCTACTCGGGCAATTTACAATTTGAGTGTTACGGACGGTTGGAAAACAAGGAGAGGTGGACCCAAGTGCAGAATAAACTCAAAGTATTTAATAATCAAAAAGGCCAAAGGCAAACAAAAACTTACTTCCAAAAGTTCAACAAAAAAAAACACAGATATAAAAAACAGAGAGCCACACAGGGGCACAAGCACAAACTGACATATACCGACTAACGACATACCACAATCAACACTGGCTACTTAAACATACACTGAACTGACCACACGAGGGCAGGAAACACAAACTAAATAGACATAGGGTAATCAAACACAGGTGAGACTAACAAGACACAGGTGAGAACAATAAGGGTAATCAAGGCAGGGAGAAACACAAGACCAGAAACACTGAGGACAATACAAAATAAACACATGAAACACTAAAGACACACAGAGCTCAAGATTCTAACAAAACACACTAGAACACAGAGATACACGAGGATAATAAATGACAAAATAAAACACTGAAGACAAAAGTAGGAAACCATCAACACTAGGAAACATTAACACACAAGGGAAATAAGCAATACTGGGATAAAATGAGAATACAAAAAACAAAACCAAAACATGACAATTCTGAGTTCCCTCAAATGTCTGAGCTCCTCACCATATCTCTAATGCTGAGCCCAGCGACCCTCCAGAGGAAACGACCACTTGTGTCTGCAATCTCATTCTTTCAGTCACTACCCATAATGTGTGACCATAGGTGACAACACACACACACACACACACACACACACACACACACACACACACACACACACACACACACACACACACACACACACACACACACACAAACCATAGTTTTTAACCTGAGGCAAGTCAGTGTTATCTGATGCTACATCTGCTTAGAAGTTTTTGTCACAAACTGGAGAGACTGCATGGTCTAAAAAAAAACCTGTTTTTCTTGCAAAGATGTTGCCATAAAAAGAAACTAGTTTTTCTAAGTCAGTGCTCATCCAAACTCATGTATCAGAAACTGTTGTTTAGGCATATTTACTTGAAGAGCTGCTGGAGTTGCAGAGAATAAAGAGAAATTCAGCTGTGTGTTACACATCTGGAGGAAAGCGCTGTATAACATCTGTGTTCAAGTGGCACACTCTTCTAGTGTAGCAGGTTTAAAGGTGTTGAGCTGGACTGCATGGTTTCAGTTCTTTCATTGAATGATTGCTTCAGGCTTTTTGTGTGTGGAGTTACAGCTACAAGTGTCTGGCACAGATCTTTAACATCACTGTTGAACACAATGACAGATCGTTTTTCATGTTTTTGTACATGCTGCATCCATTTGCTCCCCAGATGGTCAAGTTTTTTTTATAGTCATGAAGTTTAAAGCTCTGTGAAGAGTTTTTAACTGGCTGTATAATAGTCTGATAATATTATTAATGGCTTTTATTTGAACTTCATAAGCAAAGGAGACTATAAGCAACAACTGTAATTATTCCTATATTTGTCTTTCAAGCCTCTGCCAAAGGTTAGGTGTCAGAAGAGAAGATTAACAGCAAGCTACAGACCTGACATTTAACCAAAAAAGTGAATGAACATAGCAGAGAACAATACAAGTTACGGTTAGATACTGTAACAAACGTTTCTAACAGCAGCTATACTCGTTTTTCTTTTTTAATGCATTAAATACATTTATCCCATAACACTGATACACTTTTCCTCTAGTATGGTGTTTAATCCAGGGATTCTACTTGTAAAGTACACAGAAACAAACATTGAGCACATCTGGAAACAAATGTGATTTGCTTACAATGTATAGCCCCGTGTAAAACAGCACACTGTTGAGCCTATCATGCATTAATGGTTCAGTTGTCAGAGGTTATTATTTCCAGTCCCACACCTACAGCATCCTGAAGGCTTTAACACAGACATTCTTTACACTTAAGTCTGACATTCCTGACTGAAGCATCTTTTTTTCTGCCACTTCAAATGTCCTACATCAGCTGGAATGGGAGGGATTGAGATAACTTCTCTGGTCTTAACAGGTTTCTCTGGTCTTTCAGGTTTTCTCTTCCACAGCTGCCCTGTCCTGGGGCACAGTCAGTGAGTTGGTAGATAACTTCAATTCTAAAATCACAAATGTTATTGATTCCATTGCTCCCACTAAGGTGAAGGTCGTCTCTGGTAAGAAAAAATCTCCATGGAGAAATTCGACACTGGTAAGAAACGGAAAAAGAGATTGTCGAAAAGCTGAACGCAGGTGGCGTAAAACTAATCTCCAGATTCATTATGACATCTACAAAGAGAGACTTCACACTTATAATTCACAACTGAGGAATGCAAGGCAATCTTTCTTCTCTGACATCATCACCAGAAACAATAATAATGCTTGTGCCCTGTTTGCTACTGTCGACAGGCTAACAAACCCTCCTGTGTCAATAGCATCTGAATTTCATTCTACCAGGGCCTGTAATACATTTTCCACCTTCTTTGCTGAAAAAATCCAGAAAATTAGACAAACTGTCAGTAACTCATCATCAGGATCAGGATATGTGCTGTGTCCATTTAAAACCAACTTAAGCACCATGACACAATTTAATCAAATCAACCTTAAAAACCTGTTATACAACAATTAAATTCCTCCTCCTGCTATCTTGATATTCTGCAAACAGGTTTTTCAAAAAAGTTTCCCAAGTCATGGCTCCAGATCTGTTACAAATTGTAAACCTTTCTATTCTCTCAGGTGTCTTCCCACAGGCCCTGAAAACAGCAGTCATCAAGCCACTATTAAAAAAGAACAATCTAGAAAAGTCAATAATGAAAAATTACAGGCCTAAATCAAATCTTCCTTTTTTATATAAAATTATCGAAAAAGCAGTTTTTCAACAGTTAAATAACTTCTTGACATTGAGCGACTGTTTCGATGTCTTCCAGTCAGGTTTTAGACAAAACCACAGCGCTGAGACAGGTCTGGTTAAAGTGTTTGATGACATCCGTTTGAACACAGACAGTGGCAGAACCTTAGTTTTAGTTTTACTTGATCTCAGTGCTGCGTTCGACACAGTTGACCACAATATATTACTCGACCGACTGGAAAACTTGGTGGGACTTTCTGGCACAGCACTAAAGTGGTTTGAATCTTACTTAAAAGACATGGACTTCTTCGTGTCTATAGGTAACTTCAAATCTGAGCAAACAAAAATTACTTGTGGAGTTCCCCAAGGTTCCATCCTGGGGCCACTTCTGTTTAACATCTACACGCTCCCACTAGCTCAGATTATAAAAAACAATAAAATAAGTTATCATAACTACGCAGACGACACACAAATATATATTACAATGTCACCAGGCAGCCATGGTCCCCTAAAACCACTGGGTAAATGCATAGAGCAAATCAATGAGAGGATGTGCAAAAAATTTCTCCAGCTAAACAAAGACAAAACTGAGGTTGTTGTTTTTGGAGCAAAGGAGGAGCGACTAAGAGTCAGCAATCAGCTTCAGTCAGTTAAATTAAAAAACCACAGACCAGGCAAGAAACCTGGGTGTAGTGATGGACTCAGACCTCAATTTTAAAAGCCACATTAAGACAATTGCAAAGTCAGTCTACTATCACCTGAAGAACATATCAAGAATTAGAGGACTTATGTCTCAGCAGGACCTGGAAAAACTTGTCCATGCTTTTATCTTCAGTCGTCTTGATTACTGCAACAGTGTCTTTACAGGTCTGCCTAAAACATCAGTCAGACAACTGCAGCTGATCCAGAACACTGCTGCTAGAGTCCTCACCAAGACCAAGAAAATGGATCACATCAGTCCAGTTCTGAGGTCCTTACACTGGCTCCCAGTCTGTCAGAGAATAGACTTTAAAATCCTGCTGCTGGTTTATAAAGCGCTTAAAGGTTTAGGGCCAAAATACATTAGTGACCTCCTGATTAATTACGAACCATCCAGACCCCTCAGGTCGTCTGGGACAGGTCTGCTCTCAGTCCTCAGAGTCAGAACCAAACACGGAGAACCAACGTTCAGTTTCTATGCTCTTTATATCTGGAACAAACTCCCAGAAAACTGAAGGTCTGCTGAAACTCTCAGCCCTTTTAAATCAAGGTTGAAGACACACCTGTTTACAGCTGCCTTTAATTAAACAATTTTAATAGGTTTTTTTTCAACAATTGCTTATGTGGATCCAACAGCCTGCCTGTCCCTTGTACTGATTATGCCCTTTTTTTAAAAATTTAGAGCACTTAAACTTGTCCTGGTGTACTCTTGTTTAGTTCTTTTTTTTTTATGTTGTTGCTTAGTTGTGATTTCCTGTTTTATTTTGCAATTTGTATTCTTGTGTTTCTCTGTTTTCTCTGTTTGTGTTGATAGTCCTGAGTTTAGTTTCTGGTGTTTCCTGTTATAATTTGTAGTTGTCCATCCCCCATGTATCATGTCTAGTGTTTCAAATAATAAGTTTTATTTATTTTAGTATTAGTATTATTTCCTGAGACATCATTTAGGTCACATCTGAGTTGGAGTGTCAATAACATGAGGCGGGCTAATGACGCACTTCCACACTGTATGAATCAGATGAAGTAGGAACAAATATTGGCCTTCTGTGCGCGCCTACTGAACAGTAGGTCCTTATAGTATACAGCACGGATAGAAGGGACTGTCTACTGTCAGATTGTGTAGACACTTTGCAATTCAGAAGCACTTTCAGTCTTCTTTCTCTTCTGTGTCAGTTATTACATCTCTAATGCTCTAACCCTAACCATGTTCTTGTGCCATCTGGTATTTCTCCTTGTGACTTCCGGAGATTTGTTTTTCCCTTTTTGTGGTCTTTAAAGAAGTAAGCCTTGTTTTTGCCTTTTTATTGAAACAGATCTTTTCAGATAGATCTGCACGTGGATCCTCTCTTTGTTTTTTAACTAACCTTGACACAAACTCTCTTCTGTCCGGTGAAAGTAAGAAAATGTGTAAATATGTTTTCACCTAAAGAGACAAAGTTCTCTGTGCATAAAAAATCTTTACTCTGGTGTATATGTTCCTCTGGTAAATACAGGATGTAAAACGAGCCACAAGATGCTGAAAGAACAAGAGGTGTGGTGAGCTCCACACACTGACCTCCTTATGCAGAGGGGCATGGCTGCACAATCCCGCTCTGTGCTCTCTGCTTGAGTGTGTGTGTGTGTGTGTGTGTGTGTGTGTGTGTGTGTGTGTGTGTGTGTGTGTGTGTGTGTGTGTGTGTGTGTGTGTGTGTGTGTGTGTACACGTGTGTGTGTGTGTGGCTGCAGAGAAGGTGGAGTGACAATTCAATCTGCTACAACTTTGAAGACATTTAGGACTCTTACATACAGAATAATGTCATACAATAGAGGAATAAAAAGCTGAAACTGCAGGATGTTTCTGCAGACAATTGTTTTCTTGTGTGGACATTGGCATAAGGATCAGGACTGTAATTAATGGGTGTTCACCTTAACAAATATTACACCTGCACACAGCCCTCAGGATGTGGATCCGTCATAAGGTAAATTAAAGTATGACAAAAAAGAGTAATAAAACAAACAATTTATTATATTATATTGTTATAATGTGTCATTAAGAGATCCTTTAATTTGCAGCTTTGAGCTAAGAGTAAACGAACAAACGGTCCCTGAAGGGGTCCTAAGGGATTGAAATCAAAGCAGCAGAAGGAAACAAACAAACAGAAGTGTCCTAACAAAAAAAAAAACACATATAAATGTGTTTAATAGGCATCAGACCTGCCTTTTAACCCGACATGGCTGAAGCTGCCACATCTCTCCATCGCACAGAAACTTACCTGACAGGGGTCTCAGCTCAGGACGGGGAGGCTGACAGGCCGCTGGGTGATCCACTCACTGTGATCTTTTAGACGCTTATTATAAAAGCCATAAAGTATTCCGGCTATTATATTAACACAAACTATGAGGTTTGGAGATAGAATCTCCCTCACAGCTGTAAGAAGTACACTCTCACGGTCCACACTGAGCATACCTTTAGTTGGAGGTCGAAGTAAGTCCCCCTTTCTCCACGATGAATGAATACAAGTTCGGACCACATGCTCGAAAGGTTTAGTGACACCTGCTGGAGAAAAGACACATTAACATCTATGTTATTCTTGGAAAACTGTCAGAGAGTCCATTGTCTGTAACGCCATCAGAATTTGAGAAACTGTATGGTGTAAAAAGGCTATTTGTATGTGATATTACAGATTTTCATGTTATTTTAGGCCATAACAATCTTGGCATAATTTCACTCTTGTTTCAGAATTGAACTGGCTCCAATTCTTGCCTTGACCTTTACTCCATCAATATGGCATCTTAATTAAAATACAATACTCAATCAATCAATACATCAACACTTATTCGTATTGATTTCATTTAAGACAAGATACAAAAACTTTTTTTATTTTATTTTTAAATTTAAATGCTTTTAGGGTATTTAAACTGAATATATCTGGAAAAGTATATTCTAAAATTGAGTCTACAAAAATGTATTTTGCACAAGTGTTAGGTCTGTAATTTGTATGAATGCTCTTGTAACCCTGGTGTGAATAAAGTAGTAAAAATAAATGTAGGTTTTGGTTGTCAGTAAAAGATCAAATTTATATATTTTCAACATATATTTTGGGACATTGGAAAGTCCAACAAATGTATTTCTGTTTGAGGAAGGAAACCCAAATTTGCAGTGAAGATAAGAAGAACACGTGGCTACCAATATTTACAGTCTATGCTGGCTGTACTAAACTATATTAAAACATTCCCATATGAATGTATGAAGAAATGTGAACAGAAATTCGTGATTGTTGTTTTTTTCTGTAAAAATGAAATAGAAAACTTGCTAACTCTTGATACCAACAACTACAAATAGTTGTTGGTATCAAGAAAAACGAGCCTTGTAGCCCGACAACTTGACCATAGACTGTTAATATTAGGCTACGACTCTGACTCCGATTGTACTGTAAAGTGTTGGTAAGGAAATGATGTTACGGAGAACTCTGGGTGGCGCTGTGGTCCACGTTTGACGGACGTTCGACCCTAAATGATCGCCGAAGAAGAAAAAAAAACACACGTGTTTCCTGTTTCCACTTCATGCTACATGAGAAGGGGTCTATCTTGTCAATAAATTGTTTATTAGTCAGCGGAACCTGTAAAAATGGTTCGTAAATTAAAGTACCATGAACAGAAGCTGTTGAAGAAGGTTGACTTCATCAACTGGGAGGTGGACAACAACCTGCACGAGGTCAAAGTGATGCGGAAGTATCGCATCGAAAAGAGGGAGGACTACACCAAGTAAGACACAGAGACAACAGTAAACTTTTTAATTATTCACTGCGCAAGATTAGGCATGAGCCTCGAAATGTAGCGAGGATACGCTTCAAAAATGGGTTTTGAAATGTAATTACAAAATGTATCTTCGGCTGAGGTTAACTTACTTTGTGTTTACAATGTAGAAGTCTCTCTCTTAGTCTTTTGTTGACTGTTTTGTTAAAGCTTTAAACCCCGAATTTCATTGTTATAATATCAGTTAACCCTATATGTTATGGGACATTAAACACAGAGGAGATATCGTGTATTTGATATCATATCTGTGCTTTCTGTGTCTCTCCTCTCAGGTACAACAAGTTGAGTCGAAACATCAGAGATCTGACCCAGAAAATCAAAGACCTGGATGAGAAGGATGGCTTCAGAGCTCAGAGCTCTCATCGTATGCTTGAAAAACTGTGAGTATCTGACATTGTCGTATATCAAAATCACTGTGTTTTAGCTAAATGTTAGAAGCAATACAGCTGCTGATGTTGAAGTGTTGGGTTTACAATGTTACAATTCACCTAGCAGACGCTTTTAGAGTGTAATCCATTCATACACCGCCACTGAAGCAGTGGGAGCAATGCAGGGTTGAGCGTCTTGCCCAAGGACACATCGGACATGTTGCTCAGCTGGGGATCGAACCCCCCGGTTGAGAGGCGACGACTCTTACCTACTGAGCCACAGCCGTCCCCTAAACCCTAAAGCCGTTCGTGATGGGTTTAGTCTCGAAACATGTGATTACAGTGATGAACTGTTTGATTCCAGCCAAGTGTATTGCTGTTTTGTTGTTGTTGTTTTTAACCTTCGTTTAACCAGTTTGGTCCCATTGAGATTAAGAACCGCTTTTCCAAGGGAGACCTGGCCAAGACAGGAAGCAGCAACAAAAACACAAAGCTGCCGAAACAGACCCAAAGTACAATTTACAAACTCTACATTCTGCGTTAGAAGAGAACCATCTATGAGTCACATCTTGGAGTCAGTCGTTTAGAGTGACACCGAGATCGAAAAGCAGCGCTGACACATGAGACAAGTGTGGTATACCGCTGTTTCTGACGTGACACTTCCATGTTTCCATCTCGACTGGTGGTAGTTTGAGCTAAAAACATCCTTTAGGATCTGCTTCAAAGTCTTTCTTTTTGGGTTTAAAACCATTTAAGGACACCAGTTCCTTTATGCTGTTTTTATGAGTACGCACAGTGAATGTGGTTTTCCTACTAAAGATGGATAGTTGTTTAATGTAGCTCTATTGACATCAACGTTAGGACTGTGTGTGTCGTTATGGATCAACACTTCATGTGATCGACAAGTGAACATTTTCACCAATTATACTCCTTTTAAACACGTTTCAATCAGGTCCCAAAACATGTCTGTGGAGTTTCTTGTTCTGAATCCACTCTGATCCTGTATTTGATCATACCTATAAACCCCTCAATTTCTGCCCTGCTCAGAACAGACTGTTTCTGTGTCTGTACCTTTACATGCAAGTGAGCTGTTTTTTCGACCAAGACCCTGTGGAAGGGCTCGGGTGGCTTGGGCTTTCTTGCATCGTTCCCCGAGTGTTTATTGTGAAAAAACAAGCTCAGAGGACAGAGAAAACACTTAGCTGTGGGAGTGTCCCCCACCTGCCTCCAAACGACCTGTTTGAGCGCACATTTTCTGAAAAGTGGAGCAGGCATAGGAGAAGATGGACTTTTCTCATAATTGAGGGGCAAAGTTACTTGCATGTTATTTGGTTTTAATGTAATTTTGATGGTTAGCAAAGGGGCACCAGTTTAACCTGCTCTTTAGGTCAAACCAAGGACGTCCTGTATCAGTTAAAATACAAAACCTGGTAACCATGGTAACCTGCAGGTTTGAATATTCAGATCCCTGGAGCATTTTCATTTAAGTATTCGTGCACACATTTTGAACCTCACTTTAACTTTTGGGACTATTACTAACAATTCTTCAACATTAGTTTTTCGTCTAGTTATGTGTGTTATGTGTTTTTTTTACTTTTTTATTATCAGTTTTGCTGGTGCTTTACTATAAAGAACTAAACTGTCTATTTCAAATGATGAGCTTGTAGCTGGATAAAAAAAAACCTGCTGAAGTGGTAGTTGGTGTCATGTTATCTTTTGATCAGCCTCGTTAGGCTGAGTGAGCCCAGGTTCCCCAAAAGAGAGCAAGATTTCATTGAATTTCTGTCATGGAACATGCGCCTGTGCTTACAAAAAGTGTTGTTCCCTTTTTGGTTTTGGACAGTCTTCTTGTTTCCGTTGTTAAAATTCACAACATCATCTGATGATTTCGCCGTTTCATCACATCAGGTACAGCATCGGTCTCATCCCCACCAAACAGAATCTGTCCCTAACAGAGAAGGTCACAGCTTCTTCATTCTGCAGGTAAAAACTCACCGAAACATGTTTGTTGTGAATATATACCACTACTATTTCCTTTGACCTGTGTGACTCCTGCAGGAGGAGGCTACCCAGCATCATGCTGAACCTACGCATGGCTCAGAACCTGAAAACAGCCATCACCTTCATTGAACAAGGACGTATCCTTCACAGCATTTCCAGGGTTATTTCCTGCAAAATCTTCTGTTTGCCTTTAATTATCTTGACAGATTGGTTAGTTTTGTCTATGCTCATGGGTAGAAATTGTCCCGCAGTGTTGTCCTTGACTCAGTGTCAGATGTGCGTGTTGGCCCTGACGTCGTCACAGACCCAGCTTTTCTAGTCACAAGGTCAGTGTCCACATTGTTTTGTCTTCTTGTTTAGTACTGCACAGCGGTGTTTAAACGCGTGCAGTCCATTGTGGGTACAAACATTTTTTTTTTACCAAAGTGTCTCAGCTCATCCTATGTCGACTGACATTCTAGAAACACGGAAGATTTCGTCACGTGGGTGGACTCCTCAAAGATCAAGCAGCATGTCATGAATTATAACGAAGAGGTGAGTATAGTTTCAGGATCTGCTTCCGTAACGTTTAGCCTTATACAAATGTTGACATGAATTTCTGCAAACAGTTTGCATGTCATTTCTAATTATACAAAGCTGAAGAATAAAGGTTATGTCCATAAGGATTCAGCATTCCAATCGAAGTCATCAAACCTTGAAATGCCTTTGTTCATGTTCTGCCAATATTACGTAAATAACCACTGGGCTGTTGTTTTATTGCAGCGGGACGACTTTGATCTGGTAGTGTAAGACTCTTGACATCCGTTCATCACCCAGGATTGCAGCAGAGGGTCATGAACTTTTAAAACACAGGAGAAAAGTGTTTGAATTTCTTCTGAACTTGGGACTGAAGAAGAAAAACTGCCATCAGAAGTAACTTGAGAGGGCCATGTAAAAACCTGCCATGGCTTACTTTTCCACTGAATATTTCACAATGTCTGTCAATCCTTCTCAAATGTGTGTCACAAGAGGTCATATGACATTTTTAATTCTATATTCATCAAAATCGACCACGAAACCTGCTTAGCCACGAGCAAGACGAGAGTTGAGACTCTGATGTTTCCTCATCATATTTGCTGTGGCAGGCTTTCATGTATGTGCGGTAGAGACTGTTCCTCCTCCTGTAGGTCAACCTTGTTTGCTTTGCATGATGTGTTCTTTGTGTATACTGGACTTGCTAATACTGGTTTGTGAGTGTTTGTATAAAGCATAAAGAGTAGGACTTGGTCTGTCTGTTCAGGAAAGAAGTACAAGTGCCATAGATCCAGATGTTAAATAGAAATGGATAACTTGATAAATATTTAATCTTTTTACAATGTAAACTTTAGAAACAATAAACATTCGATCATCACAATATTAAGACTCTTCACCACAGCCTCGCCTTTTGCATACATGGTTCTCCTGAATACTGATACTCTGAAAGAAACCCCTCTGACAGTGTGTAAACATTGATGAACGATCAACACTCTGCTCTTATTATTCCAGTTCCCAGGAACATAAATGCCTCATGAATAATAAAGTCCAATCGCAGACCTATGGCTCAGTTTATCAATAAACATAATGCAACTGGAAGCATAAACACAAGTTTCTACGTCAGACAGGAAATGAATATGAAATGAAATGAATATGATCCCTATAAGGCCCCCTTGTGAATAACAGAACTGTAACGGTTTGAAGTAAAATGCTTGTTTTCAAGATTATACACCTCCCTCATGAGTGCCAGTTGAGAGTCCATCAGAGCCACCAGAAACGCACATAGATGATGAGTGTGAGAAAGAACACACACACAGCGGCAACTTTGGCATAGGCGGAGCGGGTGTTGAGGTACTTTGCATCACTGCCGTACTTCTGGGACAAGCTGAAGAGATTGCTGGCTTTGGTGTCTAGAGCTGAGGTAAAAACAAGTAAAGACAATTATAAAGTATTAATAATGTGTTAAAGACTCTGTTGACAACATTGTTGTCTTGTTCAGTGTCCATTGCAACAGGCTTTTCATGCATACTCATATTAAATGACAATAAAAAGGCCTCTTAGTGTAGAGCACTAATATTGACACCTTATAATAAAATCAAATCCAAATGCCAACACATTGATTGATTATCTGACACGGGGAGAAATGACCTAGAATGCCTGTTCAGATGATGCAGAGCAGCACTCACCAGACAGAGATTCTCCTCTTTGCAGAACTTCCTCAATATTTGCCACCATAATTCTCTGCACATCCTGCAGCTCCGAGTTAATGCTGCCCAAGTTCCTCCTGGACCTGCTGTCAATGTAGGACTTCTTTGCTTTCTGGATGTATGTGTCTGGAACAATAGATGCATCATACAGTTTAAGTCTTGGTGGATATAGTGTTTATTTAATGTAACACATCATTAATAGTCTTACCAAATTCAATGAAAGAGTAAGGCCTTGTCACTGTGGGAACTCTTTTTCCATACTGCTCATAAAACTCAGTGTGGAGGTCCTCTAAGTATGCAAAAGCCATCTTTTTGGGACAGGAAGCCTCACAGAGGAACAAGTAGCACACACCCTGTGCTATCACATAGCTGGAAACAAGAAACAAGTTCATTCAAATTCATTGGTTCATTTGATAACTTGACACACACAGTGATAAATGTATTTCACTGAAACAAACAAAATTATAATTGTGCATTGTTATAGAATTATCATGTAGATTTATAACTTGGACTTTACATTGGTAAATTACACTCCTAAGTTAACAACAACGCTTGCTGCAACTCACTGGAAGTTCATGCTCCCGGCCTCCAGGGTGCAGCGGTCCGGGCTCTGGGCGTTCAGTTTGCGGAACAGCTGCTTGGCTTGACTCTGGTACTGCTGGAGGTCTCTTCCAGACTGATAACAATAAGCAGAAAAAAAAGCTTAAAGGTGCACTCTGGAGATTTGGTAGTGAAATTTGAAAGTTGGAGAAGTGAAACAATTCTATGCTATATTTTCTGAACTAAATACACAAACTTTATTCAAAGATTTAAAAAAAGGGTCCCTGAAACACTGTTTAGAGCTAAAAAGCAACCAGGAGAGTTACTGTTTCACTTTTGCAGGCCCACCACCATAACTTCTCACGTTGCATTTTATCTTCAAACAGGGTTCCAGAAACCACATTTGAAGACAGTTTGTGTAAAGAGTTATAAACATAAACCACAGAATCTGCACATTTCTCCAACTTTCACATTTCTCTACCAAAACTCCATAGTGCACCTTTAAAGTCACAAATGCAGTAAAATTGTAAACATGGCATTAAATAAAGATTAATATTATGATTACACATTTAACCAAAAAAACGATGTATGACATTTTAGGAACATGTTGAATGTCTGATATAAAATAAAATAAAAGATCAATCTCGGCCAAAACAGGTAGAATGAGCATTAGGTTTTATTTTGGGTCTAAAAAAGTTATTTCATTATACAGCACTTTCAATAAAGATAAAAACCAAAAACAACACACGATGACGTTAAGCAGGTAAACACACAACCGAACCATAGACTGTAAACATTAACCCAAACATGCTACTTGGCTTAAATTCACAGCTGAGAAAATAAAGCAATGGTTATGAAAAAACTAAACACATTCTAGTTAGTTTCCCCTCTAATAATACATACAGAGTAAAACAATTAACACTGATGCTGTCAGGAGCTCTGGTCGACCCAGCTGGGATGCAAACAGTCATTAGACATCAAACATGTTGAATGGAGATGTAAAGTGTAATCTATCTTCACCTGATCATCCTCCTGTATGGACGATCAGAACATGTTGAATGGAGATGTAAAGTGTAATCTATCTCCACCTGATCATCCTCCTGTATGGACGATCAAAACATCAAACATGTTGAATGGAGATGTAAAGTGTAATCTATCTCCACCTGATCATCCTCCTGTATGGACGATCAGAACATGTTGAATGGAGATGTAAAGTGTAATCTATCTCCACCTGATCATCCTCCTGTATGGACGATCAGAACATGTTGAATGGAGATGTAAAGTGTAATCTATCTCCACCTGATCATCCTCCTGTATGGACGATCAGAACATGTTGAATGGAGATGTAAAGTGTAATCTATCTCCACCTGATCATCCTCCTGTATGGACGATCAGAACATGTTGAATGGAGATGTAAAGTGTAATCTATCTCCACCTGATCATCCTCCTGTATGGACGCGGCCAGCAGCAGTCCGTCCGCCACACGCGCGATCATCGTCAGAGAAACCATATCGATGTCAGTCAATAATCGGCTCCTTCAACTCTCAGCCTTGTTGGAACTTTACTAACTTTGTATGTACTTTGTACTTTTTGCTGCCAACTTTGATGATGCAGGAAAAAGTGAGCTGGGCGGAAGTTCATTGTGCACCGTTGAAATAAGCCCCGGGTGGAAACAGATGAAATGCAACTTGGGAGGCAATTTCCGCCGCATAAAGAAGTCGGAACGGACCAAACATTTTGTATGGAATTTTTTTTTAGTTTTATGATTCACATATTACAAACTAACGGGGATGTGATTTTATATTTGAAATCCACACTTGCCACTGTTTGACTCGCCTCTTTTTTTTTCCTTTTTTTTTTTTCTTATTTTCCTCTTGGATTGAGGATCCTGCCATGAGCTCCGGCAGTCCGAGCAGACAGCTGGCAGACGGACTGACTGCATCCCCACTGCTGATGCCTGTATCGAGCCGAGAGCTGCAGATGCGGACTGTCTGGGTCCTCCGTCTGAACTGAATCCTGTCTGAACCATAAAACAGAGGGATCCAAAAAAAAAAAAACCATGGACAAACCAGAAAGGTAAGTGGGGCCCAATCGCCGTGCATTTATTCAACAATCAATTGATTATTTATTTGGTTCCGCTCATGCGGTATCGTTTCTGCATTGCCACGGAATGGCTGCTCTTTTTGCAACATCTTTTGTTATTACTCTTATAGGTATCTCTGATCGTCATGCTCTCTACTCTGATGCTGTGAAATAAAACGATGGTTGAAACATTATATTGAACGAAATGCTTTTTGCCTTCACCTCTCTCCTGTTCTCAAGTTGCATGCTTCATTGTATGCAATAGCCCCAGACTAAACTGTAATGGGCTGCGGATTGTGTCAATGTAGGTAATAATGATAATATAATAACATGTGATATTATACAAAGGAGGATAGTGACTGATTCTGCAGCTGGAGGGTCGGTGCGGCCAGGCTCAATCATAACATGAGTATTGATCAGTACTTATCTTTAAGGGCTTAATGCAAAACACAGTCATTGTATGTACGGCAACAATGCTGAGGGTGCAATATGCTCTTATTACAGCTGAGATGGAAACATTATTGTAGCGCTACAGTTTAATCCTATGATCATTGCAGAACCCCCCCCCCCCCCCCCCCACACACACACACACACACACACACACACACACACACACACACACACACACACACACACACGTCCCAGCAGCTTGAAAGGCCTCATTGTTGCTGTGCAGCTGGCACCGCCGCGCGCACGTTCTGATTGGTGTTTTCCCAGACCTGCGTGAGCGTGACTCACAACAACCAGGCTAAACCTATTTAAGTCTATTTTATTGTGTTTTCAGAGGAGAGTGGGATGCCCGCGTGTTTATATTCCAGGGTGGGGCGCTTCATGACTAATTGATTATGGAAATTGGGGATTCCCAAGCAGGAGTCCAGAGGATTTTTAGTCCGCGAGTTAAGAAATATAGTTCATTTCCTTGAAGTGATGTACTCTTGTGCAGGAATAAAAAGAGCAAAGGATGTTCATCTCAGATGTAGTCCCCAGAGAGCAAACCTGTCTGCGATCTGAGGCTCATATCATCAGTTTGTGATCTCTTGATATCTGTATTTCATGACTCCATCCTGTCTGCCTGCCTGCCTCCAGGTGTGTCTGTAATGCTCACGAGTGAGGAGGAGAGCAGCTGAGGAGGAGGAGATGGGCTGCACCTCTGCCAAGCAGGTGTCTGCTGTGCCTGGAGGCGAGGAGAGTCAAAATAAATCCTACAGCAACGGGGACCTCATCTCAGGTCTGTCTTTGCACACACTGACATACACCCATGATGCACCTCCATGTTCAGGTGGTTTTCCCTTTAGTGTAAATTAGGGATACGCCGGCATTATAATGACAAATCAGGCAATTGCTATAATTCACTTATTCACTTGTAATATAATTTGGGTCACAGTCTGCAATGCATGATTTTAAAAGATAAGGTCACATTAACATCAGTATTGGTGTTAAATAAAATAGGAATAATCCACTGTGCAGATGTCCACTTTTTCAGGCAATTTTTTTTTTTTTTGCAAAATGTTACACATTGAATATTGCTGAGACTGATTAATTAATTACAAAGAGCCGTACATGAAAGTTCAGACAATTAGAGCTTTATGTAATGGTGCCTTTTGTTCTGCCTAGAACCGAAACTAACAACTTACAAACTAATGCATTAGGGACATGTTGGTGATTTTTGATCTTCAATAATGAGAACATTTCCTGTAACGATATCACCCAGGTTAACATCTTCACATGTTTAATCTCATTCTCTTTCTTTACAAAGTCTCAAACATGAACTATTCAATTCATAATTTTATACAAACATTTGGCTAAAATGGTCGACTATCAAAACTGGTATAGTTCAATTTCTCATCTATTCCAGTTCACAAATCCAATGAAATAGTTGATGATCTGCTTATAGATATGTTTTTGTATGAATGCAGTATAGATTTTTTAGCTTTTTAACACAACGTTTTGTAGATAAAGGTAGAATAAAGTCATTATGCAGTGGCAGTAGCTCAGTCTGTAGGGACTTGGGTTGAGAATCAGGTGGTCGCCAGTTCAAGTCCCGGCACGGACCACTTCCAGAAGTTGGTCTGGTAGCTGGAGAGGTTCCTGAACACTGCAGAGGTGCACTTGAGCAACGCACAGAACCCCAAAACTGCCCTGGAGCACTCGCTGTGGGCAGTCCCCTCACTCTGAGACCTCTCTATAATGCATGTCCATAGGATCCTGTTTGTGCATGTGTGTGTGTTTTCGGCCTATGTGTGTGTCATGTTCATTAGACAAAGTGTAAATATTGAATTTCCCCTCGCGGGATGAATAAAGGATAATTATTATACAGTACAAAAAAGTATAAAAAACACTGTACCTTTAAAAAAAAGAAATACCATAAATACATTTGAAATACAATAACATGGTGCATATGCACTCATATTGTGTAAGTATTTTGGAAAATGGTGAGCAGTGATTACAAAGATGAACTATGAAAGCACCTGTAGACTGGAAAGATGTCAGACCCTTAATTAGCACCTTATTCATTACAGGTGCACATGAACGCTCAAACAGCGCCTGTACTAATGCTAACGTTTCTGTACAGGGGCCACTACAAATGAAGGCTTATCTCTGTTATACTATTTAAAGCTGCTACAATGGCGTAATAAGCTGAAACTACAGAATCTGCTGTGTTAGAACTACATGTATCCATCATGCTTCCTCTCTATGCATGGGCACTGTGTTCTTATATCATGCCCTTTAAACGCGTGGGAGTGATAGAGGAGGGGGCCGTGTGCATGTGCAGGAGAAAAGGATGGAGAGGCAGAGAGAAGAGATGGATCGAGCTGACAGCTCGTGTTTGACGCTTGCCAGCCATTGTTAAGAGAGGATTTAGTCTGCAGCGTGACAACTGAGGCACATAATTACTTTGCCAAGTAGTGAACTGTGAGAACTATTAACCCAGATGATGGTGCTGATCGTCTGCTGTCGTGTATTAATAAGAGATGTGCTCCTCTCTCTCACTCTGTCACAGATGAGTACAAGATGAAAAGCGTGGAGAAAGTCAAGTACATCAGCGGAGAAGAGGGCGGAGTGGATGGCCAGGACAGCACAGTGCGTGCTTCCCTTTTTTCTCCTTTAAAGAGTATTTAGTGATGATTTCTTCACTTCTTTTGAATTGTTTTAAATAAGGGGTTATTAGTTATCAAAATGACTCATGAGATCAAGTTTGCATTCAGTTCTGTATTGGTAAATACTATGCATATATCTACACTCTAATGATGAAAAAAAAAGGATTGTTTAATGATAGAAAAGGTAGTTTCAAGACACAAGACGTTTATTGTCACCCAGTTTATACCGTACATGTACATTTGGGATAGTTTCTTTAGCTGGGAAATATAATAGAATACAATAAAATTGTAGAATAAGGAATCCATAATAAAAAATGTAATGAGATTCTTTTGAAAATATGTACATTAGAGCTGAATATATACATCTAAGGCAGAGCATAGATATAAACTCATGATATTAGTGAGTATCTAAGCTCCCAGGACATTTAATTCAAACATGTCTCTTTGTGCTAAGCCTCTATGTTGTCTGACAATGACAGATAAAAGTCTCTTGTAGGTATGGCTCATGTTTCTTATTTCCTGGAACTTAAAAAATGAAGACTCATTCTCCAATGGGGGGGCTTCAATTCATTTTGTTTCCATCACTTTCTAAAGTTTTCTACCCATTGCCTGTGACACACAGCAGTTTAGATAGCTAGCAATTCAGCACTTTATCTGTGTTTTTAAATGGTTCCCACATCCAGCTCTACTGGCTACTGTGAATACCACTCTTTATACTTGACAAGTCCCTCCCTAGCTTCCTGTTTTAAATTTAACCCCTAACAACAACAAGCAGAATCCAAAAGAAGCATGTTTCATGGGATGTTTAAAATCAAAAATGTGTAATTTGATTTCTTTTAAATGTATATATTGTCTTACAGCTTATATCTGGAAGTTGAATGAGGTCATTTAAAAGTGTCTGTATTGATTCCCTGCAGGAGAAGAGTGCTCTCCTTGGTAAAGGTCAACACCCGGATGAAACAGGGTCAAACGGAAATGGAAAGATTCTGTGAGTATCACTGACTGATGATCGTGTTTCAGTTATTTGTTCATTTGTATTTTAGTGGTGCGTGACTTGCGATTTTGTTTTGGTCCCTGCAGGAGCATCCACTCCTCAGAGAGCCAACAGGAATTCTTCAAGATGCTGGATGAGAAAATTGAAAAAGTAAGGACCCCTCCCTGGAGCATCACATTCTGTTATTGTGTGTTTGGGTCTTTTTTTTTGTTGTTGCACTAAGCTGCTGCTAAATAACATAATGGAGGTTAATCCTTCCACTGCAGCAAATCTGTAGTTAGAACACAGCAGATGACATGGTGATACCACAAAACAGCCCCAATCTGTCCTGTCCACTGATTCCACCACTGAGGTTATTTAAGGTGGAATTGTTCAAAACATGTTGTACTGACAGAGCTGCAGTGTGGATAAATCCTGTCACAGGGGAGAGTGGATTAGTTAGACCTCAGAACGACTCTTTAATGGTATACATGGCAGTGAAATTATACCATGTGTATTACAATAGAAGGCCTTCAGTAGTCTCTATATTTCTTCTCTATTTTTTGTCGACAAATACCACGAAAGAACTAAATCAACAATTTGATCTACTACTAAATACAATATGTGGATCTTAAACCGGATAAAGCTTAACACTGTGTGTCAAAGCTTTGTAGTCGTCTATAATCTATTAAAACATAGGGCCTTTCTAATATTGATACTAGTATACCAGGGTTCTACTTTTCATTTGTGTCTAGGAATCAGAAAGAAAGAATGTGTTTTACATGTCGACATCGTTCTTTTAGGGGATGTCTTTAAGCCAGGTTGTTGCACTGGATGATAGGAGAACAGGCTCAGAGGTTTATTTTGAGCCGGTCCCACACAAACACACCATCCTGCTGCTGGAAGCGCTCACTAGAGCACCGAATGTTTATTTATCCACAGAAAATAGTCCCCAACAGGACGCCATCTACTCTTTCTACGATTTCTCTTTCTCGCAAATGTTTCACTTTCATCTCAGAGAGAATCCTAGTTGACTTATGACTTTGATTGTTTTTAAACCCCCTTCCTCATCTCTGTAATATTTCTATTAAACCTATAATTTCCATAATAGGAAGTTGGAGTTTTTACATTGTTATTTCTAAATGAACAAATACAGATTTATTTCTAGAGAGACACAAACTGCCACAGAGCCTGTAGAGAGGTCAGGGATGATGAGGAAGAGCCGAACTCACTATGGTATGGCGGTTTCATTCATGGCTTTTGTACGACACAAAATAATTAGTCACATCCTTTCTTCTTGAGTTTTTTACCTGTAGTGTCCTACATGTCCCATAATGCTTTTCACTAACTCCTAGAGAATAAATAGGTTATTGAAAATACTACATGTCTTCAGCTGCATGTTTTAAGCTTTCCTAATTATTTCTAATTAGCCTGTTACACAATGAATGTGTCCTTCAATTATTGTTCTCCATGTGTGTAATATGGTGAGGCTTGAATTACTGTGGGATCATGTCAAATAGCTGAAATGCACCGCTTGTTTAATTAGTAAAATGTCTTTTTTTTTAAATCAAAGACGGATGTGCACTCCTTCACTGATAATGATCACATGTTGTGTTGTGATAGCTAAAGGACTTGTTCATTATGTTTTCCAGATGTTGAAATAATGTGTTGAGATAAAGAGAACTGAACAAAGTTTGTTTCATGCATTGAAACATTTAGCAAAGCATCACTTTTTAAACTGTTACACTCGTTTCATTGCACCCAGCTTTAGACACAAGATACCAATACAAGTAACACCGTCGTTGTTTTTCTTTACAGGGCCGGGACTACTGCTCAGAAGAGGAGGACATGACATAGCATCGTGGTCCATCGCTCCCTGTGTGACAGAGCTGTCACTCCAGTGTTTAGGATGGACTGTACCATGTATCAACATATCCGGAGGGGCTTCTTTTGACCGTCCCTTTTATGTATACGCCTGAGAAACATGGATTATTGACTTGAATGAAGCACCTTTTTGCCCTCCTGCTCACAACTTAAGTTCCTGCTGGTATGTCAACCAGCAGAGAAATGACCTCCAACAAAAGACGTTTCAGTATTGAACGTTTTCCCCCGAATGGAGAGAACTTTGAGTCTACTTACTTTAAAGAAGCCATTACGACAGACAGACATCCTGAACTTTGAGTACTCTCGCTCCTCTTCTGCTTGGATAAATCCTGGAAGATAAAAAAAACAACATGGCTGTCACTGAGACTTTCTGTTGACATTTGAAACATTCAGACTGTCACTAACTTACATTTTCAACAACAGAGGAAACCAGTGCTTTTGTGGACACTGATTCAAAGTGAAATAATGTCCATCTGCATCATTTTGAACATTTCATCCCTGAACGCCTCCCCCGAAAAGTCACGGGGTTAAAACTTCCTGCATTCCAAGACACAGTATGAACCTCTTTTCCACAGTCGGATGGCCAGTACAGTGTGTGTCTGTCCACGTCTGTTTCTGCTACCATGTAGAGTATTTATGTTGACTAAGGCTCAGGGTTTAAGTGTTGTTATCTCTGTCTCATGTAGTCAAAGTCCTTCCTCTCATTAAGACACTGTTGCACCATTAAAAAGACACTCATGCACTCACACGTCGGGGTTATTGTAGTGCCCTGCTTCAGTCTGTTTCCATGTTAACCCTAAAGGTTAATGCATCACATACAAGCGTCATTATGTGTCATTTTGCTCACCAGTGTTATGTTGTGTTCAGTTTCTATGTTGAATTTTTGTTTTTCTAGAAAAATAAAAAAAGTGTTTGCAGTAACTTGAACACACAGTTTACATTGTTGTGTTTCTTCAAAGTGAAGTGAAGCCGACAGAACCACCTGAATCCTTTTTAGAGACCATGCAGGGGTTTTATTCAAATGAATATGTCACTATTAAAACAATAATGAAAGCAAGTCAATATTATTTATACTATTACTGGACAGCTAAAAACCATCCACATCCATATACGGGTTTGTCTGATATCAGGGAATTCGGGTCAAAAATGTATCAACATATATGTTGCCTGTTAAAGTGAGAAGAAATTGCAGAAGAAAATTCTACACGAATGACATCTGTGTTACTGTAATGATTTAAAGAGGACATATTATCCCTCTTTTCTACATTTTAAAACAGTCCCCTATGGTCTAAATGAAACATCTGTGCTGTGCTTTGGTCAAAATATAACATGAATCAATCACCAGAGGAGGTTTGTGACCCTGTTTAAACCAGCTCTCTCAGAACGCTCCGTTTTGGTGTGTGTGTCTCTTTAAATGCAACAAGCCCCCCCCGAGTTCTCCCATAGACATCACTCCTCTGTAGTGAGAATAAAAATAGCGGACCTACACAAAAGTTTTGTTCTAGGCTGGGGGTGGAGTCCATGGATGGAGATATCAGGGGAGGGGAGGAGATTTTTTTTTTTTTTTTACCAGAATCCCACTGTGACATCACAAGTTAAGCAAATTTGAAACAGAGCATTTTTCTCTGTGTTATAAGACTTATGCAGACCACAAACAAAGGACTGGATGGATTTATTTCACATTTTTCATAAAATGTCCCCTTTTGGGCAGCTGTGGCTCAGTTGGTAGAGTCGTCGCCTCTCAACCGGAGGGTCAAGGGTTCGATCCCCAGCTGGGCAACATGTCCGATGTGTCCTTGGGCAAGACACTTAACCCGAATTGCTCCCTCTGCTTCAGTGTATGAATGGGATTAGTTACTTCTGATGGATGATACTACATAGCGATCACTACCATCAGTGTGTGAATGGGTGGGTGTGACATGAGTGTAAAAGCGCTTTGAGTAGTCGGAAGATTAGAAAAGCGTTATATAAGCTCAAGTCCATTTACCATTTACTTTAAGTAAATACTGTTAAGCTTCTCTCACCAAAGACCACTAATACATTTATTCTCCATTAGTAAAACATCACTAGAGAATAAATGACAGATTACTGAGAGAGATGAAGAGATTTGGATGGAAAAGTTAACAAACAGAGCAGGCGAGATAAGAGTGATTTGACTTGGCTAGCTTATTGCAACACAAAGTAAGCTAACTCAACGCAGATCAAACATTCAACAAGTCCTAATGACTTCATGGTGTAATACATCTACACAAAGCTGAGCTTACCCTCTAAGCTGCACATGCATGCGATCAACCAGGACTGGAGAGAGTATTTATCGAAATCTCCAACTATTTAAAATGGTGACTTCAAAATAAAATAAAATAAATGTCACTTTTGACAGAATCTAAGTGACATTTCATCTTCACCTGAAGCTTAATTTATCAAACATGATGTTAGTATTCAAATTCTTCACCTGGTTTCTGGTGCAGCGGCTGACTTTAGTCACGTCCGTCAATGGCTCTTTCAAAATAAGGTTTTTCTGTTGTTTAGAAAATCATATGAAACAAAACAGTTTTTACATCCCAAACTTGACAATTTTGGCACAATTTGAGAGATCCTTATGAGAGCTGTTTGGATAAAATATAACTTAATGATATAAATATGTATCTCATTATATTTTCATTTATTTTTACAGACTTACAATAATTCATTTCCTGCAGCTACCTCAAACATTAATACGAAGACTGTAAGTAGATGCACTGGGATTCTGTGAAAGGCTCGACTTGAACTGGTAAGTGTGTGTTTTCATGTCAGAACTGTCACAATCAGAGAGGTCAGAAGACCAGAGGTCAGGGAAACGGATGAAAAGATGTACTTATACACAGAATCATAATTTTCTCTTGGTAATTTACATCATAACTAACTCTTCATGTCATTTGAAAACAAAATCAAATCTCTCTACGTCCCAGTTAAGACGCAAAAAGCTCTAGGGTTTGAGAATAACTCTTCTCTGGTTGGATGAAGCCAGCGTTGTTTTCCAGGGAGCTCTATGGTTCTGTCCGTTTGCTCCTGCTGCCATGTTAAATCAGCGCAGCCAAACCTTTTTACAGTGTGGCTTACAGAGACAGACACAGACAGACTGTGGATCTGCCTGACCCGTTCTGTTCCTCTATGATTCACAGACAACACCAAGGTGTCGCCTCAGTCCAGCTGCTCAGTGTTGCTGCCTTCTCTTGCGATGCTGCCGGCGTCCAGCATCCTGAAAGGGTCCAACAGGAGGGTCAGGGGTCACCAGCCCGTCAGTCATCCTCTGGTAGACCAGAGTGGAGTCAGAAGCTACAGCACACAGCAGCATGGAGTAGCCTCTGTCCAGCACCTGTCGTATGCTGCAGAGCAAAATGGAAAAAATATTGAATCTGCCCAATTTTGGTAGTACAAGTCTTAAACTAAATGTAGGAGGGTTATATAGAGTTAAAAAAAAAAATTAAAAAAAAACCTTTTGTGGGTCAGAGATCGGTGAACAGGCAGAGGTAGAACTGTCTGTATAGGTGCTCCTTCTTTTTCCCTCCCCTCCAGTAAAACCAGCTGTAGCTCAAGACTCTTGACACAAGACACTTCTTTCCACCACGCACTGTAGAAAAGGAGTCAGAGGTGTTAATAGATTATTTGAAATATAAAGGATTTAAGTATAGGTCATCTACCGTTAAGGTATTATGTTAGAGAGATTCAAACAGTAGAACAAGCTGCACACTCAAACAGTACAAACTCTTGCGATGCACGAGCGCAAAAAGATTGACGAGAAAGTAGGAAAGTCAGACGATAAAGGCGTTTTAGCTTTTTGCTGAAACGCGTCCGCTGCTGGTCATTTACGCTGCTGCTTTACCCAGATTAAAAGAGGTGAAGGACATTTAGTGTGCTGACTTTTCTCCTTTTTATTATGTTAAAAAGGGTCTTGAGTTGATCCTTCATTTTATTCTTTCAAGTGTTGTATTGTTGTAGATTTGTGATGCAACTTTTAGGATTACTGCAAACTTTTAACCTCCTTTGCAATGGACATTGAACTGAAAAGAGAGAGAGAGAGAGTGAGAGGGAGAGAGTGAGAGAAGAAGGGTTGCGGATACCTTTAAGGTCACTAAGTTCATGATGGATGTTTAACAACTAGTGGAGAAATTTGCAGAGCTAAGATTAAACAAACACGACATTGTAACTTTGCTATATAAAAGTGCCATGCTTGTGATGGATTAATGTTGGATCTTTTTAATATAATATAATTTAATAACACTCTTTAATAAAGTGTCTTGAGATAACATTTGCTATGAATTACAAATAAAGATTGATTGTGAATGATTGACATCTGATGAGATGTCAATTCTGATACTTTTTACTTTCAACACACATCAACATATTTATCATCAAAATATGTATTTCTTCAAGTTTTAAGACACACTAAATGAGTGTTATTTATAAGATCAATACACATATCCACGGCTTCATTATAATGATTGATTTAGTGCAGTGAAAGCTGAAGGAATTAGGAGACTATCTGTGTATGTTGTTAGTGATGGCCTCACTGTTAACCCACCCTCAGTCAGATCCATGTACACCAGGAAAGCTGCATGAATCTGTTCTTTGTCCTCCACCTCGAGTTTTTGCATTTGCAGATACTAGGAAAAGAAAAAACACGGATTATTTCCATAGACTGTAAATATTACGATTATTTCATGATGACCTGTCAACCCGTGAACGCAGCACGGAGGGAGCACTCACGGTGGGATGCAGAAGGATCCAGTTCTGAAGAGGTTTCTCTGACACGTCCGACATTGTAAAAACTAAACGTGTCTGATGAAAGAAAGTTATCTCATAATAACGATTAAACTGTCTAATTCATGGTGCAGTTAAGTCAGCGGCTGATGCGGCATGTGCATAGACTGTAAATATTGGGCATGTGTTATGTTTTCAGGTTTGCCGGCGTGCCACAGTGTAAGTTGTCCGGGTTGAAAATGTGTGTCATTCGTGTTTTCCGCGGAGCCTGTCAATGTGGGGCGCAGCTGCTGCTGTTAGACTGGCTGAAAATGTATCAATTATCAATTATTATTTTTATTTACAAATGAAAGGGGGTTTAAATATACATATACACACACACACACACACACATATATATATATATATATATATATATATATGTCAATTGAGGATTAAAACAACAACAACCATCAATTAATAAATACTAAAAGACCTCATTATAATTGTTGTGATTTATGTGTGTAGCCTATAATTAATATTCTTGAGATGCATTGACAGACTGGACTATTCAAAGGACTGCATTACCATTTCATGAGATTACACATATTTATGCTGGTGATTATTGAGTTAAAAAAAAGTTTATATGTCAGGAAAAAGTAGGAAATCACACTTGTGTTTATGGACACTTTTGTTTTTGTTTTGTTTTTTTACACAGGGTGACTTCTAAAATGTGTTTGATTTCTGTTACGATATGGTCCACCAGTTAAGATGTGGTCAGACAAGTGAGGAAACAACCCAAAGAGACAAAAGAAAGAAAAACAAAATATTCATGTGAACGTGCCAAACACTGACTCTGTCCTTCATTTATTTATGGTAACATTATTTCATCACTCCGCCATCGGTTCATCTTTATCACTCTCAGTTTGTGGACATCAAGAACTTGCTGACAAACAAAATCTGATTAGACTTCATTTGACTATGGACCCAGTGCTGGCTCAACCAATAGATTGAGACAGTAAACTTATGAGGAAAATGTTTATGGAAGTCATACATCCACTAAAAAGTAGCATTTATTTCAAATCTAGTCGCCCCCTGCTGGCTATTAATAACAATGCAGCCTTAAGGCACTACTGCTTTGGCTTCACTCTTGAAACATGAAACTATAAATGTCCAGTCTAAATACTGTCCGTGATAACTACATCCCTCAGTCTGGCTAAAGTTAACTTACAGAAGTTATAGTCTTGTTGCTTGTTGTCATGGTTACTTTTGTAGCTTGACGCATCAGTTTTAGTTTTTGTCTGTTTCATAACCAACTAAAAATCTCCAGGAGCTTTGAGTATAGCTTTGCAATAGCATATATAAAATGAAGTGGTATTATCTGTTTGCATAACACCATAATAGAACATAGACATGACATAATTTAACTGCATCTTTATTTTTAACTTTTAATATGTATTATATAACATTTTCACTCTGACTTATAAAAGTGAAGTCATGTGACTGAACAGTGGGCAGACTGGTCTGTGTGACTTCATTTACCAGAAGACTTTGAATACTGAGAGGATGTTAGGAGTGAGAGCTGATTTTTCTGCTCCTCTGTTGGCTTCAGCTGTTGTTCGCAACAAGGACCAGAATGTACTGGAGCCATGGTACCAGTGACTGAACATGGAGAAAGAGGAGGAGAGTTTCACCCACACACTGACACAAACACTCAATAAGCTCTTCCTCTAATTATACACTTACTCTACTTGACTCTGTAATTGACATTTTCAAAGCTATCTTCAGCCTTCACTCGATATACATTTCCCCACTCATCACTTTTCACTCACTTTTAGTTTCCTCCAGCATGAAGCCTTCACAGTATGAGCACACCAAACAAGCAGGACAGAGGGGGTTTGATGCGGTACAAAACTACAAATACATCTTTTAGAAATAAAAAATATATTTTACAGTTAATGAAGTGCTGTAAACTCCTGAAACGCCTCCACTTCTAGATCTTTCAGACCTGTGGGAAATGAAGTCGAGGACTTTTGACATTGATTTAAGCGGTAATATTCATCAATAGTTTTATATTCATATATATTATCAAATACATTAAATAAGAATATAATCAAACTTAGGAAAAGAGGTTAAAGGATGGGATTTAGTTTAAAGACATATTTTTTCACATTACATATCACTTACTTAGTCTGGAGCCCTTTGATCATTTGTAATGGTTCTCAATGTGTGTGTGATGTAGGTCAACTTTGGTATCATGGAAGAAAAAGTGTCTAAGACATTTCATTTAAATGACAACTAAGTAAAGTCATTCTGCTGATGATTAGAACGTATGTCAGAGGATATTTTGAGCTTGTTAGGCAACTTCTGGTTACAACATCAACAATGAACTGTCAAGCTTTCGGTTTTATTACATGACAAGACATCAGCATTTCAAATGTAAGCTCTTCTTTTGTTGTCCCTGTGAAATGTGGATGTCCTCAGTAATGACGCGTCACGCACACATAGTTTGCACGCAATGATTTCATGAAGAGGAGTCGGTGAATGTGTAAATATAGCTTTAAAGTGAACAAATCAAGCAGAGAACATTTGTCTAAAGTGTTCTTAAGTACAAAATGGTATTTTACAAGTTAAGTCACCACTGATCCTTCTATATGAGAGAATACCTGCTATGTTCCCAAGACATCAGAAGTTATACATCATGATTTATTAGACACCTCATCCACATGGTCTATAAAAATGTTGTTGTTTTTTTGCACGTGGCTGTATTTGGAAATCAGTCCCACCTGTTGGAACATCTAAATGTCTTATGGCTGACCGTGGTTATGTGTGCATATATTTTCTGGTGAGAAAGCTTTGCCCTCCTCTCAGCTGCAGGCTCCAGGGTGATGACATGCTGCTGGGGTACAAAGAAGGCCCACCAGGAGCTGGCCCATCTTGTCAAGCTAACTAGATGGGAGATCAGACACCTTTCTCAGTTGCCACAACAGCTGGAAACAGGTAGAGCTGTGCCTCCTGGACTAAATATAAAGCGCAGTGAGACTGATGTGGCTACATGATGAGGTTTAAGGCTGTTCACTGCAGCGTCACCGCAGACTCCTCACACCCCAGACACAAAACTGTTCAAACTCCTCCCCTCCGCTAGGCGTTACAGAACACTGTACGCCAAAACAACTTGCCGTAAGAACAGTTTCTTCCCCCAGGCTGTCACTCTGATGAACGCTAAACGCACACAGTGTCAGACCTGTCACTGTGAAGTACCGGTAACCCTAGAACCATCACCCACTGTCAATAAATTCATCAATACTGTAATATCATCCTCCTCATGCACATGTATACCTTTAATGTAAATACTGAAAAACTCGACCTCATGTAAAATAACAATGCAATGCAAAAAAGCAATGGTATTCTCAACCCATCTGTTACATAACTAAACATCTATTATCATGTTCATCTCAGCATTTTTGTACTACTCACCTCTGCACTGCTTCTTATTTAGCCTTGTACATATGTTTATATTTAATGTTATACTTTTGCACATTGAGAGCACAGTTCACAGAAGTGCAATACCTTGTGCATGCAAGCATAAACGGCCAATAAAGCTGATTCTGTTCGAGGCTTAATGCTGTTGAGTGTTGCCCCCTAAGGTGGAGCAGCGGTAACTGCAGCAGGTAAAGTGCAGAAGGACATTATTTACAACCTCATTGAGCAGAAGAAAACACACAAAAAGACACTAAGAACAGAAATCAACTTAAGGACTTTATTCTTTAAAAAAGCAATGGTATTCTCATGTCAAGCAAACAATGGAAACATTTCATATTAGTACTGTTCCATATCAAAAAAATGAGTTATGAAAGAATAATTAAACCACACAAATGATAATTCTTTTGGAATAAATTAATCAGCATAACAAAATGAAATAAAAACATGCTTTACTTAGGTGTTGAACAGGAAATATTGAAACTCCAATGCTCAAAAATTGAAGACACCTGAGAATATAAATATCAAAACAGCTTGTTGCAGCAAGTATTTAGTTCCACAGTTCCTCCTCTTTACCTCAACTAAAGCTAAGAGGGGTTTTTAAAAATTACATTAATGTAAAAATTAGGCATCAATTTAAAAAAAACATCCATTTCTGTACAATGTGCATATCTGAATTAGTGTGGTGACACGAGAAATCCTTGCAGTATTTTTTCATTTTTATTTCTCAGTGAGGCAGCGAAAGATTTCATCCAAAGTGGATAACGCTCGTCTGACATCAAGCCACATTCAGTGATATGAACAGATAGATTTGGACTGAGCTCTTAATTGAAATCTGCAGTGAAGTGACAGTCTACAGGTATTTCATTTTTTAAACTTTAATACCCACTTTTAAGCCTCTGCCTGAGCCTGCAGGGAGTCTTTCCCTTGGTGCCTAAAACTCCTGGTGGGCCTTAAAGACAGAGGCTGATACATTTTTTTCGCTACTGTCTATTAACAACAGAAATCACCGAGGCAGGTAGAAGTAAGTTCTGCTGCTACACAGGTAGTAGTGATCTTGCATATACAGACATGAGGAAGATAAGGATACACAACAGACCATCTAGGTGATAAAAACAAATTTCTGAAATCCAAGGCTCAGTGGCTTTGTAGGAGTTTCTGAGAGACAGGATGGATGGATTCTGTACAGACACCACAAACAAAATGAGTGAGGTATGTTCTTATTGTGATATTATAGCTTTGAGACCCAGCACGGAGGTCTGTGTGAGAAGACGCCCCCCGTCTGTGAGAGGAGACGGGAGACGGTATATGTCCATTTGGAGACGTAGAAAACAAGCGTGTGTCCCTTTTGTGAAACAGTCCAAGAGTTCAAGGTTACTGCCAGCAGCAACCCAAAACCGTAAACAGATCAAACTTCTGGTGAAGTTATGAATACAAATCTGTAAAGATTGCAGCTCCCATTAGAATGAGATCAACAGTGAAGTAGTTGTTGTGGATGGTGTGACAAATGAGTGATGAAGTCTTTCTCCTTGATTCTAGTGTGGAGGAAAAAAGTCACCTCATCGGCAAACACAAATGGAACATTTTTCCTTTAAGAAAACAAACAAAAAAAACACAAATCCCTCAATCAGAGACGGCCTGGATGACTAAGCAAACACTAACAAAAAACAAAAACAACTACCCAGTTCTTTTCATCACGCTCTCTAAAGCACTTGGACAAAAAAAGGCAGTTTTACAAACCATTGGTTATCAACACACTAGCAAAG